GTCTGTCCCCCGGTCTGTCCCCCGGTCTGTCCCCCGCAGTTGAGGTATACGGCTAGCTGATGTTAGCTAAAGGCAGCTAAAACGCAAAAGGAGGAGGTACCGTTAGCAAACAGTGCATACGAATCCGCATTGTTCAGCGCATCATTAGCACTCAACGCCGTAGCAGCGCTGTATCCATAGCCCAGATCCTCCGTGCCAGGCGGGTACACACCAGGGGCATGGGTGAACTCATGGATGATGGTGGTGGCCTGGTCCTGGCCGTGGCAGTTATTTGTCACCCCTTGGAGGGTGTAGAAGAGCTCACAGTTGACGACCTCGTTGGTCGAGGGGAGGGTGTAGGCGAGGACGTTGGAGTCGCAGTAGCCGTAGGGGTCGGAGCAGTAGTAGGTGGTTGAGCCACCCCCGTTCGACGAGGCCTCGCTGGCGACGGCTTTGAGGCGCGCGGCGACGTTACTGCGGATGTTGCCAGAGGTTGTCTTGAAGTACTCGGCGAAGAGCGCGGAGGAGCCTGAGGAGGCGGCGTCGGCGGCTTTGCTGGCGATCGAGGCGGCGTTGCGGAGGGCTGTGTTGAGGACTCCGGCGCGGTCGCCGGTGCAGGATGAGGTGATCTTTGTGCGGCGGTCCAGGGGCTTGATGCTCGCGCGCACAGCGGCAGCTTTTGCGGCGTCCACCTCGAGCTTAAGCTCGTTCGAGGAATAAGGGATGTAGCCAGCGATCTTGTTGTTCGTGGTCACGGGGACGAAGCCCTGGGTGCGGACGGTGATGGGACCGCCTTGGGTGAGATTGGCGGTGCTAGCGATGTCAAACTCGTCCTCATATGTGCCGCCGGGTGCGAGGGTGGTCAGGGCCTCGTTGGAGAGGCCATCGCTGCGGAGCCGCTGCTTGATCCCAGTGAACTCGACCTCGGTGGCTTGAACTCAGGTTAGTGATGTTTCCTCGGCGGCAGGGAGATTTTTCGGGGGAGAGAGATACCATTGCGGTAGAGGGAAACCTTCTTGACAGGGCTAGAATCATTGAAGAAGTTGAGATGTACAAAGGTGATTTTCTCACTGCCGGTGTTCTTGACCACGGCCTTGATCCGGGTGTTGTTGACCTGGCTCAGGGTGATATCGAGAGCTGGGGCTTTGGCAGGAAGAGCCAGAGCACCATGGACGACGGCCAGAATGGCAGAAGCGAGAGCAGTGAGTTTCATGATGGAGGATTGCATGAAGATTGCTATTGGTCTTGCGCTTGCTCATGTGAAGCTGATGCTGATACTATCAGACACGCTGGGTCATCCTCATATTTATAGACATCCTGACACTGAAGCAGTCGATATCACGAACCAAACTTGGCAATTGACACGGAGAACGACCAAAACAGGAGGTTACATCGTATCCCCTGTGCAAGGCTTGACTGGAGAGGTAAGACCTCGGTTGTCTGAAGACATCTCCATGGCGTTTTACCAACCGGCATAACCACTCCACAAGGCTTATTGAAGCATCGCTACGAGCCAGATGAAATGCCGAAGGGGTAGGCTTGGCTGGGCCCGCCGGCCGTTGTATTCAAGTAGTTGAGTGCGAGAGTCCAGTAAATCCCTGCCATTGTCCCCACCAGCCAACATACCTGTATATTACTGAGGCTATGCTGATCTTGTCTGCAAGAGATATTTTGGGATTGGAAACGCCAAGAGGGTTGGCAAGTTTGGGTATGATGAAGAGGTCGACCTGCGGCGTCCGGATGCCTGATAGAGGGATCTGCGTCTAGTCTGGTCTGCAGGGTCCATCTTGCTTATTATTCAGGTCATATTGCTATGTTGTTAACATAAATCATGTACCGACGATGTTCGTTGATCCTGCGCGGGATCTGTGGGCCGCCCCGTATCTGGTTTCAGACCCTGGATTTAGTGAAACCGAGTGGAGTCGTTTACTAAAGAGTTGTAAGAGAAGTGATACAGGTACTCCGCAGTGAGTCAAGAAAAAGAACGACTCATCGATTAAATCGCCGATTATCACACCTTATCAATCCTTATTATCTCCTTAATATCCGACTGATACTTGAAGACCCGAAGAGAATGCAACCCAAGACTTCCTGTCTCACCGTCCCATTCTTTTATACCAGTTATTTACTGCTATAAAGACCCCTAAAGCTTGGCGACTTGAATCTATAGCTCGGCAATTTACAACGTGTGTCTAATTGGCGGATCGGATATCCCTCATGCAAATCTTGCGGTTTCAACATCCATACACCATCCACTCTCTGCTCTCCGGCTTCAACTTCCCATCAACCGAGACAACCTCTGTTTACATTCCTTCTACAGGTAAAGCAATGACAAAGCTCCAAGTGACACTGTCGCCCGTCCCTCCATCGCCCGCTCAACCCATCAGCCTCCCCATCAAAGTCGCCATCCACAATCCGGCAAATACACCAGTGACTTTCCTTACCTGGGGGACCCCGTTCGATCCCAGAGCCAACCTTCTGGGCGTCTTCTCGATCAACAACACCAGCAACAATAACCCCATCACACTGGACACCATCAAAATCAACCGCCAGCTACCTCCCTCCCGGGATGACCTGGTCGAGATCCCGGCAGAGAGCTCAAAGGAGCAAACCGTGGCTATTCCCTGGGCTCCTCTGGAAGAAGGTTATGAGTACGCAGTTCAAGCAAAGGGCATCTGGCATGGGATCTGGGCGTGTACGCGGGACCAAGTGACAGACTCGCAGCTAGAGAGCCTGGGTGAGGGAGAGGCGAGGGGGAAGTTTGAGTCTCAGCGGGCCGTCTTCAAGGTTACTCGGTAGCACAGAGTACAGCTAATGGATTTGTTGACCTAGTATATAACGTATACCCTCCCACACCATACACCCTACACCCCATTGTAATAGTGCGATAAGCGAAATGCAAAAGCAAAAGCAAAAGCCCATCAACATCCCCACTGACGCAGCCCGCTCTTGACCGTCCTCTCAGCCAGTGGAATCGCAATCATCCCCTCCAGCGTGGGATATGGGATAGTAGCTACGGATCTCTTCGCCCTCTAATGCATCTTCACTGTGAAATGACGACAGCTGCATAATCGCCACGCGCTAATAGGCACCTACGCCCTCCATCACGAAATACATGTCCTCTAGCCTGAGAACGCGAATCTTGTGCGCCTGCTCACGGTTGATCTCGACCTCCTGCTTCAACAACAGTGTATTGGAAGTTCTGCTGTTATGGTTATGTTAAAGAAAACAGCATTATAGCCTTCGGATACATGAATGTGCCACACCACAATGCCGACTCACTGTCGTGGTGATATTGGGTTCCAGGTCTACTTACATGACAAAGGACGGCCACAAGGTCTGCCCTTACGCTTTGTAGTCTATACTATGATGCTTCCACGCTCTGGGCATGCAGATCGGCTCCGCGCTCTAGTAGCATTCGTACGATATTGTCGTGTCATTTATAGCAAGCAGCCTGCAGCGCATTTCCGTACCGTCCACCCTGGGCGTGGACATTGGCTCCGCGCTCTAGCAATGTCTGTACGACCATGTCGTGTCCTTCAGAATAAGCGGCCTGGAACATTTCCGTACCGTCCACCCTGGGCATGCACATCGGCTCCACGCTCTAAAAGCATATGGACAACCTTCTCGTGTCCATTCAGTGACGCCCACATAAGCGGGTTTGTCGATGTATCATCACTGTATTAACATTTGTGTTCGCTGCCGCTTGCTCCTCGAGAATCCCAAAACCCTCGTCTAACATTTCAGCTGCTGCAGCAGTCTTGATTGGGAGGTCGCGGTTCCAGCCAATCTGGAAAGCATCACGTGGAGGACAGGATATGTGGAAGGCCTAGCGCAGTTTGTTAGAACAAAAGATTTGGTGATATCAAAAGTTAGACAACGCTGAAAATGGTCGGAAATGTTGGTGAGCCGTCAATTTGATCCCCAGAAGAGAGGAGCCTCATGGCATAGCAGGCGACCGCGGTCTCTTGCGCCAACAGTCTCTTACGCCAACAGTGGCAGCTTAGCCCGAGCTGAGAAACAACGCAGTAGCGCGGCAAGAAACACATTGCCATTGGCGAAAGGCGCTAACCCCCACACCGCGTGCATCTCACGTGACACTTTGGACTGTGAGCCCCAACTGAGGGTACGTGACTCGACAGGAGAAACATGATCCATAGCGCATGATACAATGAGGATTAACAGTGACCCACTCCTTTCTCGAGTATTCGATATTCCAGCAATATAGACTTACCGAAGATAAAAAGGTAAAAGCGGGTGCTCGGTATTTGAATGACAGAGGGAGCCAATGAGTATAATCCCGCAAGTAAGATATTATGCAAGCATAGAATATCTTCGTGATGCAAGCCTGGTGAATATTCAAGACTTAATTGAAAGAAGGGCTTCTCCGTGTCACGCTTTAAAATTGACTTATCCTGCATGGGTGTAAACTACAGTTGATGGCAATTCCTCGTACTTGATCGGGTTAACCCGCTCAAGGAGAAGATAGTGCCGTCAAACAGACACTGGCCTTCATTGTCGTCAGATTCTACAGTAGACCGTGGTCGCTCTGTAAAGTAATGGTGATCCGTCTTCAAGCTTCAAAACAATTGGACGGAATCTCCATCCGACGGCATAATGGAACTGCAGTATTTTGATTCCCTTTAGTACTCTGAGTACACAGTAGTAGCAAGACGAGAGGAGAATGCAAATAATTAAGCTCGAACAGTTTCATAGGCGGGTTTCCGTAACTCGTCCTAGAGTATCACTCTCATCTTTTCGCGATACCTGGAAGCGATGCAATTGGCAGAAGAAGGACAAGGACTGACTCATTCACTTCGCTAATTCGACATATTACTGTTGTACTGTTGTCCACAACCGACCCTCTCTTAGATATCTTCAAAAAATCCCTCTCCTACCTGCAGGTCGCGAATGATCCGACTAATGTCGAGTCTTTTAAGTCCGTTGAGGCCTTGATGTACATCTAGTTGGCTTCTGCTGTTTGATTTGTCATATTCCTTCTTTGACTCTCGCCGACAATCATCATTATGTGTAGCTTTAATCTGCAAACATGACGACAGGCTACTGAACCATTCGATGTGCAGCGTGCTTAGCGAGACCTCTCTCGACCTGTCATGGAGATGTCACCATTCGATAGTCGATTCATTCCCGGAGAGATTCAAGCGAGTTCCGGTATGTTCGTTGCCTAGGGAAAGTCTACCACGACTTTTCAGCGGTTATTGTCTGGAAATATATCACACACACTCAATAAGCACCACAACTGATGAAGGCCTTTTGCTGTTCTTGATTCTAGGAGCGACCGCGCCGAGCTCTTCGATCTACCTTGGCACTGGCAGGGACCGGGAGCAACGCTGTTGTGAGTGTTATCAATCATTCGTGGTCGGAGGAGTGTGGTTCAGTCACCCGAACTACGCCCACTTTCAGCTGCAATATCTAGGCATGGGCTATTCATTTCCACTCGCCGAAGAAGCCGCTGCAGACGTCGTTCCCTCTTATGCTCACCTGCCGCAAGCATACGCGTCATTTTATCACCAGCAAAGCTACACTTTCTCCCAAGACTATGGTGCGCCGATTCAGCCATTGATTTTTCAAATTCTGGCTCCCGAGCCACTTCTTCTGTGTCCGTCCTTGACATGGGACCCGCGTTATTACCACCGAACTCTCCATCCCTTGGAAGCTCGGCACAGTCTCCAGTGTTTGAGCGCAAATGTCGCCCAGCAGCATTGGAGCCGATATCACGATGTTAGAGTGCCCTTCGATAATCTGCCGAACCTCGACAGCCGTGGAGTACTACAGTAGAACCACGACTTCACTTGGGCATTAATCGGAGAATAATCTCACCACATCAGATCGTGGTACAGAATCTTGCAAAACGGCGATCGATGCAATATTCTTTCCTTCTTTCTTAGTGCAGACCCTGGACCATAAGCAGGAAAAGCTTGACAATCTGGAAGAATAAATTCTGTAGACACAGATCCTCCCTAGATTGACCGGAGGACTCTCTTCGGGGGGCCATGTCTTTCCTCCCCCGAGCTCCATCCGGGCCATCGCCGTTACGAAATGCTGTCGCGCGTCAACGAGGCTGTCAAATCTTCCCGTCTTCTGCGTGTGTGGCTCAGAACCTCCGAAGACACAACTAGTACAGACATGCCCCCTGGTGCATGTCTGTGTCCCTTTCTTCTTTTCCCTAATCTATAGGGTCTCCGGTCGATGTAACAATGCAGCGCTTGGCAATCCTTTGTGTCATAGGCCAACTAGCGCCCTCATATGGGACACGATCATTACAATCCTAGTCTATCACAGAGTGTCTACGGAATTTACCCGATCAACAGGGTAGAAGTAAACCATTCAGGCCATGTACATATGGATATAGCCCTCGGCAACCTTTTGAACATCTCCGAAGGGGCACTAATCTTACCAGTGCTATCCTGGTCCCTGCACGGCAATCTGTGGACAGAATATCATTCCGAGATAAATCGAAAGTAGAAAAGAAACGGCAACTCTTTCCAACCAGTAGGAGATTGCCAGGAAATATAGGTCTATTAATTACTGTTATTTTCATACACACTTACTCAAAAAAACAAGGACCTATTTGTCCCTTGTCCTTCATTCACAGTCTGCCTCTATGTCAGGAATGAACACAGTTCTTAACCAATCAGACACACCTTGCTGGAGCTCACTACTTTACATTCAGAAGACCTCAATCCAACCCTGAAATATCCATGCCATTGTAGCCGTCCCATAGCATGATCAGACTGCACCTACAATAGGAAGTGATGTCACTTGTAGATGGAAACATCTTAATCGTAAAAATATGATAACGAGGAGTCATCATCTCAAGAAGTAAGTAATGCCAGAGTCTCCTCATCACCGGTTTCCTCTGCATACGAGATTGGTGTCCGCTCACAGAGATCCACCGAATCTGGCCTTGAACCATGAGCCAGGAGCAGCCGCAGAATCTCCAGAGAGTCACCCTCTGTTGCATAAGAGAGCGATGTTCGCCCCCACTCAGCAACCGAGTCGGATTTGACATCTTCCCGAGCCAACAACAGCTCAACAATCTCAGCTTCACAATTCCAGGCCGCGTACGATAGTGGTGTGCGGCCCTCATTGTTCATCGGGTCTGCCTCAGCACCAAGTGTGGTCCTGCCAGGCAGCATATGTGACCGTGGTGTTCTGGCAGTCGTCTGGAGAATTGATATCCATCCACTCATGGGAGATAAGAATCTCGAATAACTCCTCCAAACCATTCCAGCATGCCCAGAATAGCGCGTTCCGACTGCACTCATCCCACAGATCGGGACGGATATCCTTATGTGCCAGGAGAAGCTTGGCGATGGTGTGGTAGCCCTTCTGGATGGCGCAGAGGAGAGGGGTGCTTCGCCACTTATAATGTGGGTTGACATTCACACCTGGTTGATCCAGAAGTATACGAACCGCGCCTTCATGCCCATTCTTAACTGCATATGATAGTGCTGTCTTATCATAACCCTTTTTTGCATTCACATCGGCATTGTTCTCGACCAACAACTTGACTGTCAGCGCCGCCAGCCGCAGCGCACATCAAGGCTGTTTCACACTGCTGGTTAAAACGGTCGATCTGGTCTTTTACATGGGGTAGCAAGTGCTTGGTAATGTCCGCCACAGAGTCGTCTGTTCTAGCCAGGATATGAAGGATTGTGTTACTGTGTTCATCCATAGAAAGGTGACGGCATGCCATCAAGGCTGCCAAGCTAGCGAACGCCTGCAAGACCAGGAGTTGATCCGATGGTTGAAGGTGTTCTAGGATTCCAAGAACGACCTCTATTGGAACGCTAGGGGGTTGAGGCATTATTGTATTGCTAATGGGACCCCGGAGGCCAGATAATGTGGGTTTGTATGTTCCTGAGGCAGATAGTTGTTGAGATTGAATAATATTCTTTTAGAGGAAGACAAAAGGAAGATAAAATCAATCAATCAATCAAAAGCAAAAGCCAAATGAAATACTTACTTGGAGAGAGTGTGAAAGAGGAACCGGAGACTCAGGGATAAGCTTAGCCTGAACTTCAAGTCTTGACTCTTGGCCACTGTCGTCAAAGACGACCATATTAATAATAATAACTCATGTCAACACTAATAATACCTAGCGCTTGCATCCATTTCAGGGGTGTGACAAATTAAAGAAAAGAAGCAGGGAAATAACTTTGTCAATATTCAGCTTGAAAAGGGTGAAAAGGTGGCAAAATTAGTCCGTCGTATCCTTCAGCCCTTCATTTTGTTTATCTATAAGTCTGTAACAGACTCTTCTTAAACTCGTGATAGAGCATCGTATTTAGTGTCATTTTCATCAACCCTATATACCATTTTCAAGTTTTGGTTTGCTGTTTTATTCTGGCTAGCCGACTAGAGTTTTCTGATTGTATCGCTCCTTAGATACTTCTGTACATTATTCACCACGAACTACTACTAGAACGAACCATAATATGCCTAGAGCCCTGTAATTATATAAGTCGACAGTGGTGAAATGGACAAAATTAATCACCACCCTGCTGTGGAATTGGTATATTGAACTTCTCCCCAAAGAAACAATCCTAGGCTCACTCCCAGTAACGCAACTGCAAAGGCAAATACAGAAGGTCCTGGAGCAAAAGACTGCCAGCTTCCAAGCAAGAACGGCGACGCCAAACCTCCAAGATTCTCCATAAAAGTCAATGCTGCGATGGCCTGTGATGCATCTGGCATGAATGAAACAAAATGGCCCTTGAAGAAAGCCGGCAGGGCAAGCCCTGCTGCTGTAACTGACACAGCTAGGTATAGTTGACCAGCATTCTGTACTTGTGTGATGCCCGCAAGAGCAAGCATCTGTATGACTAGTGCCGCGAGTACTGTAGTGCTGTCTGTAGACCTGTCTGAATTAGGCCTTAGCCATCGCAGGCTGGGCGCAATGAACACTTTAAGTAAAAGGGGCACGCTAGCGCATGTAGCAGCAGTGGATACAAGCAGGCCATTTTGGAAAGTGCCAAAATGCAGCTGAGTCGAGGCAAATACCATGATTGCGGGGAAGAGATGGGCCTGGACAGCGGTATAGAGCAGCAGGGACAGCCCATAGGGGATGGCATAGGGATGGTCAAGGAATGGTTGGAGTGGAGAGAGGAGGACATCAAGGCCTGAAAGAATCTGTGAATGTGTTTGCATCTGGGGCATAGCTTGCGGAGCTGGTACACAGACAAAGATGACCAGGTATACCAGTGCTATACTGAAGATGGCTAAGGCCTGCAGTGAAGCTTGCTGTATAGCTCTGAAAGATGCTCACTGCAACAGGACCAACAGCTGACCCTAGCATATACAGTCCAAGTGAAGCAGCCATGAGCTGTGAGGTTTTTTGACCGGAAGATGGCGCCATTAGAGAAACATAGATAGTGTTAAGATTGAAATGAAGCAGGTTGTCTGATGCAAGGCCCTCGAAAATGCGTCCTGACACTGCGATGGCTAGACTATGAATGGATACTACTATGGTCAGCTAACAATCTTAAGATGGTCAGACATTAACTACCTCCAATGACAAGGCATAATACACTGGTGGCCCGGCACACAATCCAGATTAGCAGACCAGCTCGTAAATGTTTCTTGATGAGTCGCTCCATTGGTCCAAGGACCATAATGGCCACTGCATGGGCAATTCCACTAGCAATAGCAACCGCGGCTGCATAAGAACTTTGTTCACCATCATTGCAGGAGGTTGGGTCCGCACAGAGAAGATTAGCATAGGCATAAATAGTGGTGGCAGTGGTGGCAGCCATGCCGAGAGAAGCAAGTAGTGCGACAGGAAGGGTTCGATAAGCGGCATTCTGAGTATCCTGGATAGTATCACGAATCGCTTCGCTCTGTGAAAGCAGTGGCTCTGTCTCGCGTTCAATCATACTGGATTAACTTTGCTATCAAAATTGAAATGGGTTGAGAGTCGTGGGTTATTACTAAGAATAAGTTTGGGGTAGCTTCGGTGGCCGAAATTGTCAGCACGGAAACCGGCCTTAACGAGCCCGCCTTTAATGGAAATCAATGCCAACCTTACCGATTTACAGCTACATTTTGCCTTGTGTATCATTGCAGCATGAAAGCCCTTATACAACTAGAGAATGCTCTCCGGACGGTACTGGAAGTGTCCCAACAGCATCACATAGCAGAAACTCTTGCATCGCTTCGCCGAGCAGAGCCGTCATGCGACTCAGGCCTCGCTTCGACCGCGAGTCGAATCGTTGATTTGGCATCCGAGGTGGTTCAGCTGCTAGAGCCGGCTCATCTTGTCCTGGCTGATCATTTATTCGGTAAGACCAACCATCTTCCGGTTCAAGGGCGGAACTGACGCAAAATAGCGTACCAGTATACGCAGTCACTGGCCAGCGCGGTTGGGTTGCGGATTCCCGATCATCTCAAATCAGGTCCTCAGACACTGGAGCAACTGGCGGCACTCAGCGAGGCACGGCCAGATAGGCTGCGACAGGTCCTCCGACTGCTGTACAACCATGGCATATTTGCTTTTGATGCAGCAACAGATACAGTACGAAATAACGAAGCCTCTGAACTGTTGCAGCGGACGCATAGCGGCCAGTGGCATCAATGGGCATCTGTTTGCAGCCGCGAATTCTATGAGATGGCCCAGGGCCTTCCACAGGCGCTGGGCGAGACAACTCTCCGTGAGCCTGGCATGGCAATCAATCATCTCTACAAGCTAATATATTATAGGCTCTCCAGCACAGATTCACCACGACACTGACGAAAGCATGTTTAGCTATCTTGAGCGCAGCGGAACCATGGTCCGTCTCCGAGAATGTATGGGGGCTGCAGCCAGCGCACAGACTCCTGGTATGGTCTCCAGCTACCCATGGCACGAACTGGCCAACAGCAGCCTTGTGGATCTGGGCGGTGGTGATGGGTCTCTGATGGCTGCCCTGCTACGAGAGATTCCCACGCTGCAGGGCGGCATTCTGGATACACCACGAGTACTACCATTCCTGCATGAAGCCTTCCATTCTGCGTCGGGCCAGCACGCCGATGTGGGCGCGCAGATCCCCCCTGAGCGACTTATCGGGGGTAACTTCTTAGAGGCCGTGGTTCCAGCGGATGCGTACGTGATGCGCTGGTGTTTGCATGACTGGAACGATGACCAGGTGTGTCAAATTCTGCGTAACATCCGTCGCAGCATTATCATGGGCACTGTCAGTCGACTGATAGTCCTGGAAGCCGTGCTGGCAGACGGCCAGTCCGGGCGCATGTCTCGCCTCGGGGATATAAATGTCATGATCACTGCAGAGCATGGACAGGAGCGGACAGAGAAGGAATGGAGGCGGCTGGCGGCTGCTACGGGCTGGAGGGTTGACAGCATCACGCCTTTGATAGGGGCGTGGCCCTGTGCTATTGACATGCGGCCAATTATATGTTCTATGTAGTGAGAAGCTATCACGTAAGTCTCCTTTACCAAGCTTGAGCCTAGCTTATCAAAATAAAGGAAAATAAAGAAAAATAGAGAAAAAAAAAAAGTAAATAGGAGACTAAAAAAGGAGGACTCATAAGATAGTATCACACAACACAACTATAAGCAGTTGCAGCACCCGACTCGGCACTTTTGAAAATAGCATCGACCATTCGATATCGAATCACGGCCTCGTCTAAAGTCACGATATGCTGATTTTCATCCTTCATCCAGGCGACATATTCTGCTCCAGGGGCTGTCGTGCTCTCGAGATGAATCTCCTCCCAGGTGGCTGCATTCGATCCCGCCACTGTCTTCCAGAGCCGTGGCGGAATCGCATGAATCATCAAGCTCGGCCCCTCTAGCTTCAAAGACCCTTGTTCTCCCGTGATGATCCACTGAAACAGGTTGGGGCTCGCAGGGGGATGCGAATACATGCACACCGAAGCCGGGATATCCGCGTCACCCAATCGCCCGAGCAGGGAAAATGAGTCCGGCGCGTCATTAAAGCGGCCAGTCTTAGGATTTCCTTGCTCATCCATCAGTATCGGCTTTGGGAAGCGCATGCTGGTCTGTGCGTGAAGGATGCGAAACTCGCCCAGCAGAAAAGCCACGGCGTCGAGAAGATGGCCGCCGGCAATAGTTACGATGTTGGCTCCTATGATAAATCAGCCGTTGAATTATGCTGCAGCGACTCCTTCATAGTTTACCATTTGCTTTATCATGAGAGTGTCGCTTGTCAGCGTGAAATTTTAGAAACAGGTCATCGGTGACCAACATTGTAGTGGCCAGGATACGGCCTAACGACTCGGACTCAATAATTTCTTTCATCTGACCACCGCTCTCGTGTTAGAGCCTACAGTCAATCGGAGAACGGGTTACATACCTTCAAAACATGCGGTGAGAGTCTGGTAGGCAACCCCACCATGCTCTTCACGTGTTGTTCACGGGCTCGTCGAGCCAAGGCCTCTGCCTCTTCTAGGTTCGACGCAAAGGGCCATTCAACGTAGACGGCCTTACCGGCATTGATAGCGGCCATTGCCAGTTCAGCGCGTCGTGGTACCTTGACCGAGATCACCACCAGGTCAACCTCCAGGTCTGCGGCGAGGTCGCCGACACTGGCATATCCTCTTTCGTGCTGCAAGCCGTGAGCTTCTGCTGCTGCCACAGCCTTTTCAGTGGTTGACATGGATAGTGCAACAATTTCATAGTGTTCTCTTAGTGGCGCAGTTGTCAACGGCAGTTTATGGATGTAGTTGGTGCAGTGGCTCGGATCTGCAGATAGACCCGCGATCCCTAGGCGAATTTTGTTTGACATTAGGAATAATATTCCGACTGCAGAATTCTCGTACTACTCTGAACGCAATCTCTCAGGAACGGCTGGGTTGCTTTACTTTGATATCAGAGTGGCAAATGTACGTCAGGGTCCGACAAGAGCCTCGGTGACCGGGGATCGCGACTTCGGCCAAGTAAGACTTTTTATCATACTAGCGTTGTTGTGATAGATGCTGTTCATTCTTGAATCAATTACACCTCGATTAAACCTAAAAAAAAAGAGGGAAAAGGTAAAACAATAAGGAAACCTTCAAAAAACGCCAGGATCATGACGGCAGTTCGCTACGGCACGATGATAAGCCATCTCCACAACGCTCTCACTCTCTCGTCGCAGAGCAAGTCTTCTGTCTCGGTTTGGATCAACGATGATATCCGACCGCTGCCACCATCTCGTCGCACTTGGTCAACCCTGACTTTTATCGGCTGGTGGTCGGTTTGGCAGCTGAGTTTGACCAACTGGCAGCTGGGTGGCGCGTTGGTAGCCTCATCTTTGTCTGTCTGGCAGACCATGGTCGCTGTCATCCTAGGCAGAATCATTGCGGCGATTGTCGCGATCCTAATCGGTTACATTGGAGCCGAATGGCACATAGGATTTCCAGTTTACTCCAGGGTTATATGGGGGGTTTTTGTGAGAATTGCCGTTTCTTAATGTGGAACTCTCAGGCTGACGTGATCTAGGGCGCTTTCCTTCCCACCTTACTTCGGATCGGACTCTCCGTCGTTGGCTTCGCATTTCAATCCTATAGCGGTGGACTATGTGTGACTGCTATCCTGGCCGCTATCTTTCCTTCCTTCTATCGGATGGAGAATACCCTCCCCATATCATCCCATGTCACGACCCAGCAAATCATCGGGTGGGCCATATTCAATATCATTTCAATTCCAGTGCTGTACCGACGACCGGAAAGAAGTGAGAGAATGATGATCGGCATGAATGTAATCTCTTTTGCCTCTTTGTTAGGAATCATGATCTGGTCCTTGTCCCGGGCCCACGGTGCTGGAGATCTGATTCACCAGCACTCACAGCTTCATGGTAGTGCTGCCTTGGGATTCGGAATCATGCAGGCAGTGACCACGGTGGTAGGGACTCTTTCAATTGCCCTGAGTGAGTTTGAATGCGCTAAATGTCATCGATGGGTGGCTGACTCGGAGTAGCAAGTCAGATGGACTTTTCCCGATTTGCCCGAAAGCCCAGTGATCAGGTCTTTGGGCAGTGGTTCACATTCGTCATCATAGGCTCGATTATGCCTCTGTTTGGGTGTCTTACCAGCTCTGCTACCCAGGCCATTTACGGACAAGCGCTTTGGAATCCTCCTACCATTCTCACCATGTGGCTGGAGCGGGATTATAGCTCGACCTCTCGTGCTGCAGCATTTTTCTCTGGGCTGGGGCTTGTCACCTCGCAACTTGCACTAAATGTCGTGGATAACGGTAGGTCTTTGAATCCGAAACCAGCACACTCAATATCTAATCGTTGCATAGGCTATTCTGTGGGAATGGACCTCTCAGGGCTCCTCCCAAAATACGTCAACATCCGGCGAGGATGCTTTGTTGGCCTGATACTTGGCACCGTCCTTTGCCCCTGGGAGCTCCTCGCCTCCGCTACCACTTTTGTTGGCGTAATTTCGTCCTTCTCCATCTTTATGGCACCATTTTGTGGTATTCACATCAGCGATTACTGGATCATTCGCGATCGACGTCTCAAGCTATCAGACCTATACCACTCTCGGCCAGACGGTATCTACTTTTATACCATGGGGATGAACTGGCGCAGCGTGTTTCCGTGGCTGGTCGGATGGGTACCCCTGCTGCCGGGATTCCTGCACAGCATTCGCCCTACTATTCAAGTGCCGGTGGGCGCGGATCGACTTTATGCGCTTGGGTTCCCGTACGGCCTGTTGTCGTCGCTGATCGTAAATACCCTTGTCAACAAGCTTTTCCCGCCACGTGGACTTGGAGAAATTGATCAGGAGGATGTATTTGGGACTTTTACGGGAAGCGGCGGTGTTGAGGATCAACAAAATGCAATGGAAAACAGTGAGATGACGCTAGAGCAGAGTTCAAGCCTGGAACGCCAGGAGATCGTGGGTATGAAAGTGTAGGTCTTTGACACTGTTGAGTCTATTAAAAGCATGACCTCTCCGGTTTTCTTTGTTCCATGTAGAGATGCATATATATCTGATTTTATAGGCTATAGCCATGCGTTCAACTTAGAACAAGTTTTAAATGAAATCAGTACTGAAAAAAGGGTTCAACTCCAAATTTCATAAAGGAAAACACACTCTCTGAAAGAATTCCGGCAAGCCGAATGCACGAATAGCGAACAGTAAAGTTATTTGGTTGATAGTTTTAATATGTAATTGATTACATCTTGTTCAAGATACATGAGATAACAATATTATGTTAGAAAAGACTGACAACTATATAACTGACATCTTCACATCTTCACGGTGTCATAAACTAACAGCATGATATGCGTTCAATATAAAAAAAAAAAAAAGAAAAAGATCCCTAAGGTTATGGACTTCCCTTACCGGCAGGGACTAAGGCGGATAACATTTGATATTCTCTCAAATCAAATTGTCTGAATATATAGCTTTCAATCTGTCAAATGACTGACAAAGCTGGACAAACTGATCAGTGCTATTACACCTACCAATCTGCACCAGCATCGGGACTGAGCCTCTCCGAAGACCGCCGGATCGAAGAGGATAAGAGTCCCTGGCGTATCTCGGCGGCCGAACTGTTTCTTTTCCTGAGCATGGGATTAGTTGGGTAATCCAAGGAGCCGGGGTATACGGATTACCCGACAAGCATAGATTGGTGTATATATGCTAGTGAACAACAGCATTATAGCTCGACTCCATGAACAACAGATCAGCATCTTCGTCCTGCAAACATGATATGGCAAAATCTATTGCAAGAGTTGTCTGCGGTACTGCAGGTGAACCCTGGTGCACTTAACCTTGATGCGAGCTTCGTTCAGAACGGCGGGCATTCTCTCAGTGCAGTGGACTGGGCGGCGCGCCTCAAGAAACAGGGCATTTTTATATCCGTTGGACAAGTTCTTTCTTGCTCTAATTTAAACGAACTGTTTAAAAGTTTGCTGCTGCCGTCACAATCTGAAGCAGAGGGTCAAACACCCCCAGAATTTTCGGGCAATGGCACTATATCCTCGAGCACATCGTCTCCTTGCCTTTCAACGCCGCCATCGAGCGACGTGTCTACGACCGATGGGGATAGCTCGATGAGCTCTCAATTTCTCTTGTCTGATGCTCTAATGGACGAGGGTAAAACTGCCCCGCTGAGTGAGATGCAGGCCTCCCTCTTACATGGTTCCCTTAAGAACCCAGGAACGAACATCATCCACCATTACGAAACTTACCCGACAAAGATAATTCCACGATTCAAGGAGGCGTGGAAGGCTGTCCTCGAAGCAGAACCAATATTTCAGTCATCCACTCTTTTACTGCCAGGACAAGCGCAAGAAATATTTGTGTGGAAGGAACTCACTGTAGACACAGCGGCTGAGTATCACAGACAGATGCAAGCCGTGCCTGTTGAAAGTTCCACTTCCTCCTTTACCGTGATCCATCAATGCTACGAGGGTACCAGTGATGCCCGAACCACTATTATATGGACTGTTCACCACGCATTGGTAGACGGCTATTCTGCCATGCTATTATTTCACAAGGTCCGTCGGGTCGTCGCCGGACTGTCCATCTCCCCTGGCCCGTCGTTCTCCCAAATCGAGCAGCAAATCAACACATGGCGCCGCACGCATAAGGCCGAGGGTGATGAGTACTGGTCCAAGCAGGCATCGCTCCTCCAACAGGCCCAGGGGGATCCCCTCTTGCCAGAACCGCAGCGGGATCCCGTATCAACGCCACCGACCGAGAGCGAAGAAGTCCTCATCGCCAGCAACATCTCACAAGCACAGCTCCAGACTGCGAGCCAGGAGCTTGGAGTAACACCAGCTATTTTTTACTATGCAGCGTGGGCGTTCGTGCTCAGTCTCTATACGGACTCAGGTTCGGTGGTTTTCGGGGCGGTCATGGCAGGACGCAATCTCCCGTTGCATGGGATTGACGAGGTAGTTGGACCATTGATCAACACCCTTCCTCTGTGCATCAAGCTCGATGAAAGGCAGTCAGTACGTGACTGCCTCCGGAGCCTTTTCAGTCAGGTTGTCGAATTGGCCGAGTACCAGTGGACAACTCCGAACAACGGATATTCTCGAACATTTGCCTCGGCGATGGCAATGCAAGTGCCTGAGCCAGACGTTCCAGAAGGTCCGTTACCACTGGAGCCGCCATACACTCGACAGACAATGGACGTCCCGATAAGTATCAATATTATGACAAATGGAGCGGCCCGCTTCATCTACCATACGGCTCGTTACAGCCCAGGGGATATGACCCGGATCAGCAACTACTTTCACCGTGCCCTGCAGCTTCTCCTCCGCCCACATCAGACAGTGAAAGAGTGTATGCAGGGGATGCTTGCCTGTGGTGACCTGGAGACCTTGATGACATTTGGAAACTGTCATTCAGGACTAACTACGGCCATTACGGTCCAGGATGACTTAGTGACACTATTCGAATCTGCTGCGTCGCGACATCCTGCCGCCATTGCGCTTCGAAAAGGCCGTCATGAACTAGAGTACCAAGAAATAGATGCCTCTGCCAGTCGAGTGGCAGCCTCTTTACGCAATCACATTTCCGATGGTGAGGTTGTCTGCCTTCACGCAGACCGTTCCATGCACTGGATTGTCGGAATGATGGGCATCCTGAAAGCCGGCGGAGTTCTTTGCGCCGTGGATGCAGCTCTTCCCCCAGAGGCGCGAGATGTCATCTTCGCTGCGTCAGGAGCTACTGTCTTTCTAGTCCCTAATCAAGCAGATGAGCATTTGCAGCCCTCGGCTTGTGAACTTGCACTGGTGATTGCGGAAATTATTGAGAGCGACCAGACGCCCCTGGCCCCCCGCCGCTTGCCCCGTCCCGCCGACAACGCATATCTTTGCTTTACCTCCGGGTCAACGGGAAAGCCCAAGGGGGTGATGTGTAGTCACGAAGGGCTGGTCGCATTTCAGCGTGATCTCGAAGTGCGACTCTTTGCGCAACCGGGCCAGCACATTGCGCAGACCATGTCAGTTGCATTCGACGGCAGCATCCACGAGATCTTTTCGGCACTTAGCTACGGTGCCTCACTGGTTCTGCAGAGCGGTGGAGATCCATTTGCGCATCTGCACGATGTGGACACAGCTATTCTCACCCCATCAATGGCTCGCGTGTTGGATCCGGCAGATTTCGACCGATTGGCTAATGTGCGTCTTTCCTATACTTCGTCGTTGCTGCTCAGGTCTACTGATAGATGACGCTCTGTGTTAGGTATATCTCGTCGGAGAGCCCGTGCCAACAGAGGTCGCCGATAAATGGGCTCGGCACAAAACACTCTACAACATGTACGGTCCGACAGAGGGCACCTGTGGCGCGACAATCAAGCGCCTCTTGCCGCAACAGCGAGTGACAATAGGGACCCCAAACCCTTCGACCCGGCTATATATTATGAATCGACAGCAGGAGCTTCTCCCTCCCGGCGTCCTTGGAGAAATATACATAGCTGGCGTTCAAGTTGCCCGCGAGTACATCGGGATGCCCCAACAGACCGCTGAACGATTTCTACCAGATCCGATCCGAAAAATAGGCGAGCGTATGTATCGCACTGGAGATAGGGGTTACTGGACGAGCAATGGCGAGGTCGTCTGCCTTGGTCGTTCTGACCGCCAGATCAAGCTGCGCGGCTTCCGCCTTGACCTAGACGACTTGGAAGCCCGCATGATACGAGCGGTACCAGCTGTGACAGCCGTCGCAGTCACTCGGCAGGGTGATCATCTTGTTGCTGCGGTTCTGCCCGCCTCAGTTGACGTGTATGCATTTGCGGCGCGCGTGGCCCAGATATTACCCCCCTATGCGACACCTCGCAAAATTGTCGCCCTTGATGATTTCCCGACCACCAAAGCGGGGAAGCGGGACTATCAGGCGCTTGCAAAAATGAGTATAAAGGCTTCCGCAGCCATGGGTCGTCCGTTGCACACCCCTTTGGAGAGAGAGGTGGGGAACGCCTTTCGGGAGGTCCTTCGGCTAGCCCCCGATACCAGGCTCAACACCTATTCCAGCTTCCGCGAATTAGGTGGCCACTCGTTACTACAGCTGCTTTTGGTCACCCGTCTAAGCCAGGCTGTGGGTCGTCAAGTTCCCCTGCGTTTGGTAGTACAGCATGACCGCATTGAGCAGCTCGCATCAGCCATTGAAAAAGGTCCCTCTCTGCCTCAGCTTCTGGCACTGGACGCGAACACACTGGGGCAATCAATGCTTTCTCCAATGGAACAAGAGTGGTGGCAGAAATATCAAGCCCAGGAGAGCACGTCTAGTTTCAATGTTAGCTTCATGGCCAAAATCGACAGCGACGTTGTTGACCGTGTCCGCCTTGCCGACGCCTGCAACGCAGTCTTGTCCCGGCACCGCATCCTGCGTTCTCGCTACGTCTTCTCTCAGAAATCAAGGACCGTGAGGCGCCAGTACAGCCACCTGCCACCACGTGTCCGGCATATCAAAGTCATGGATCCCTGGATCGAGATCAACCGACCCTTCGCATTGACGCACCTGCCCCCGATTCGCGCCGCTCTTTCAGGGTCTCACCTTACCCTTACCATGAGCCATATCGTCGCTGACCTAACGACTATGCAGATACTTCTGCGTGAGATCTCTACCCACTACCGCGGCGGCACCCTTCCGTGCAACTCACAGTCGTACATGAACAGTACTCTCTGGCAAGATAAGCCAACCCCCTGCGACCTGATCTTCTGGTCTGAATGTCTCGGGGAGCAGCCGCCCACCACACACCTTCTCGGCCACGCAGTCCATCGCCGGGGTTACCACGGAACCTCTGCTTTCTGTGAGATTTCCCAGTCCGTGTACCAAGCTATGCTTGGCTTCTTCAAACAGTTCTCCATCACACCTCAACAGCTGGCTCTGGCCGCTGTGGCCCTCTGTCTTGACGATCCCTCCACTGTCCATCCTTCCACTGATATCGTTCTCGGGCTTCCCTACATCAACCGGAAATCCAATGAAGATCTAGACATTGTTGGTCTTTTTCTGGAACCCTTACCCGTACGTATTCGCTATAGCCCTGGAACTGAGTCCGGGTCCTACCTTCACTCTGTCCAGAGCTCCGTCCGCGCCTCGGTCAGCCACGCCATACACTGGGATCAGCTTCTCTCACATCTTCAGGCCAAATCCACTCCGCCAGATCATCCCCTCTTCGAGACGGTGGTGACTTTCCACAGCCGCAGTCATTCAAATGGCCTAGAGCTCTCCGTTCCAGGGTTTCAGACCTGCTACACTTTTCCCCAAGGCGCCAAGTTCCGCCTTTTATGTGAATTCAGCGCACTATCTGAGGATAAGCTACTACTGAGAATGGAATATGATCGAGATTGCTTCTCTGAAGAGGATATTTGGCTCATACAAAGACGGATATCGCTAGCCCTGGCATTACTGGTGCAGGACGTCCCCTACGAGCGCATTAGGGACAGATTGGTGGATTTGGCTGATGTGCCCGAACCAAAAATATTAGAGGCGGACAAAGTATTTGGGATACCTCTCGCAGACATCTAGGGCTAATTTTATTCCCACTTGCCTCTTTTGTTTGTGGCTCATTGAAGGCTGGAGTGGTTTATACAAATAATAATTTTGAGCATTGCGTCTATGAATCCATATAGCGATTTGCAACAATACACTATAGTCTTTCCTAGTACATGCAATTGTAGACGAAATATATGCATATATAGATTGTGGAGAAGTACTCTCTAGGACTTTGCCCGCCGACATGAAGGGTCGCAAGAGTAATCTGGATTCAACTTATGAGAGTCATGAAATGAGTTTTAAGTACAAATTTAGATGGGCTCCTTCAGGAAAGCATCTTGGCAAGTTCTTGGATTTATCTATTCGTCCGCGTTCTACCGGTCAAGCGCAATAAATCCTTTTTACCCAAAAAATGGTTTAACATCATCCTCCAATGGCAAAAGGTGACGCGACTTGTGGGCGACCTTTTCCACAGCTTCAAGAACACGCAGGACATTCCCCCCCACAACAGCGACAACATCATCAACAGTAACACCCCGATCGAGCAATTCTTGAACAAGGTTTGGATATTTAGACACATCCTCCAAGTCCTTTGGTCCGTGAGGCATTCCATCAAAGTCACTTCCCAGACCCACATGCCGGTACCCGATTAGGTGGCCTACGTACTGTATATGATCTGCGACGTCCGCCAAAGTTGCCGCCTCAGGATCCTCGCAATTAGTGTACTCAGGATAGAAAGTGATCATGATGATGCCGTCATTCTGCTGTAGCATGCGCAGTGACTCATCATCGACGTTGCGCGAGTGAGGGCAGAGTGCATAGGCCGACGAATGCGAGTACATGACCGGAGCGCGTGAAAGCGCCAGTGCGGCGCGCTGTGTTTCTCGACTGGTGTGGGAGAGGTCGACAATCATACCGAGGCGGTTCATCTCAGCAATCAATGCCTCGCCGGCAGCGGAGAGTCCGTGATGTTGGGCGTCTGTCGGTGCCTCGCTGTCGGCGTAATGGTTGTGACAGGTGTGAGTGAGCGAGGCATAACGGACCCCGAGCCGATGGTACACGCGCAGGATGCTAGGGCTGGTGCCGATCTGATGCAGGCCTTCAATTCCGAGAAGGCTAGAGATGCGCCCGGAGTGGTGGTTGAAGTTGTGACGTATCTCGGCCACCGACGACGCCGGAACCAGTGAGGCCGGGAAATGCTCGGTCAGCCGGCGGACGAGGTCAATCTGCTGGAAAGTGTCTCTGACGATCTCATGGTGGACGCGCTCACTGTCAGAGGTGAGGTTATAGGGCTCTCGGGGACTGAATGAATGGGTTAGTATGCTTGGGCGGCGAAATGCTGGATGACTTGCCATTCCACATAGACACTCCAAAATTGGGCTCCTAAGCGCCCCTGCTGCAGGCGTGGAAAGTCCACCTGTCCGTACAGGCGAATCTGATCTGTGAAATTATCTTGGTAGATGTGGTTGTGGTAGAAGGCTCGGGTCCAAATGGGGAAGTCATTATGTCCATCTAGCCGCTGTCAACCCAGGTTCATTACGTCTGTCAAAAGAGTCATACCTGTCAAGGGCATTTGAGAAAACACCTGTTCTAGAGGATCCAGAGCAGGAAATGCTGATCGGAAGAGACATGTTCCAACCAAAGCAAGCAACGTCAGGAGGAGGCCATGTCTGAGTCTGCGCTGGCGATTTTCCCAGGTTATCTCTGCTGGCCTACGGCTGGGATGCAGCTGCTCAATATCCTGTTTCTCAGCCATGGAACTGAATAATCCCCTGGGCTTGATTAACGTAGAAGCCTCTCTGTAGTAAGGGCCATAATAGGTATCAACACAAGAATATCCAGAATGTACGAAACCAGCTGTCTGCCGGTTCCGATGCTGTTCGGCCGCCGGGTGAAACTGGAAACTGGCGAGTATTATTGAGATACCCCCTCCGGCCAGAAGAAGTCTCAGATTATGTGGCAGAGTCTGAAGCTTCTATAGTCAAGCAATTACAGCCAACATGATAGGCCGCTATATACAGAGCGGGAATATGCCATGGATCATCCTGGCATTGCCTGTTCTGGTTCTGGTCACGCTACTGCCTCGAAAGGTTACGAATTCAATCTTTTCAGCCATTATAGACGTAAGTATTCTTGTTCTGTTAATTTAGCCCGTTTTTCTGAGAGGTGTGCAGAAATATCTTCTCTGGCGCTATCCCATCCGCTCTATTGATGGCACTCACACTCTGCCCACCTGTCCATACCAGTGGCCCAATGGCCAGGGCGATGTCGGCAAGTTCCTGCAAGGCATTGAGAATCGTGACATGTGGGAGAAGGAACATGGAAAGATTTACCGGATTTGGTCTGGAATGAAGCCAGAAGTGTACGCACATCTAGACCCATGTCTTCCATGCCTAGTGCTTATCGATAGCAGAGTTCTTACTCAACCGCATCACGTACAGTCCGTTTTTCGAGATTCCAACAAGCATTCCAAAGCCGAGAACAACAATTCTGGGTATTTGATGAGTGAGCTCCTAGGTCAATGTGTCGGTCTGATCAGCCAGGAGCCCTGGAGGTGTCTGCGCGCAGTAGCAGAAGTGCCATTTCAACATGACAAGACGCCAGCCTACGTTCAGTTAGTCCTGAGACATATCCGGCAGCATTTTTCCAGCTTGCATGTTCATGGGGATCTTCAACATGGGCGCATACACCCTGCACAAGACCTGAAAATGCTTCCATTCTGGACCGTCGCGGAAATTTTCTATGGCGAGGTCGACATCGTAATGCGCGAGGAGCTACAGCAGCTGTGCCTCATCCGCGAGCAGCTATTCAGGCGCATGATCCAAGGAGGGCTTGTTCGCTGGAGATGGTCGCGATATCTCCCAAGCACAACAAACCGCCAGCTGGCCGATTTCAAGTCGCGCTTCAGGCGCTTCAATCAGCAAGCCTACCAGCGCGCCTGCAACCAGAACAAGTGGAACCTTCCTATTATATCTATGACCGAAGCCGCTCAGTCAGGAAAAGTGTCCCTGGAACAAATCTACCAGACCATTGACGAGGCGCTCTTCGCAAACCTGGATGTCACCACAGGGGCCATTTCCTGGAATCTGGTATTCCTGGCGGCGCACCCGGCGATTCAAAACCGAGTCCGGGAAGAGGCGCAGGCTGCAGCAGCGCGCGAAGCTTATCTCCTCTCCTCTTCAACCCTCCTGGCCGCTTGTATCTTAGAGTCTGCCCGTCTCAAACCCCTGGCAGCGTTTACTGTCGCACAGTCCGCACCGACAGACCGTACGGTGGAGGGATACTGTATCCCGGCCGGCACCAACATAGTCATTGATACATACGCGCTGAATATTCGCAACGAATTCTGGGGAACCGACAGCCAGAGCTACCGACCTGATCGCTTTCTTAAGCATCGAGCGACGGAACTGCGGTATCAGTACTGGCGTTTTGGATTTGGGCCTCGCCAGTGTATGGGCCGCTATATCGCGGATCTGGTTATCCGGGCCTTGTTGGCCCATCTGGTGGTGAATTACGAACTGGGGATACTGGATGGAGATGAAGACAAATGGAAACGAGACTCAGAATCCTGGATTACGCTGCCGGACATGCAGCTCAAGTGTGAGCCGCGCAATTTGCGAGTGGCCAAATTATGGGCACCAGTATCATTGTAGACTGAATATATTACCTTGACAGTAGATGGTTGTATTGAGAATATAAAAATATAAGACGAAACAAAAATACTATCATGGCATCTAGTTGAGACGCAGAAGCTCAATATCAACGCCCTAACGTAGGAGCGCGCTCCAACACCCGAGCCACCGCAGGCCGGCTCAACATACGTTCACTCCAGGCTTGAATTTGTGGCCAGTCCTTGATGTCCACGCCTAGAAAAGTAAACATCCACGGCATTGCGAAAGGAAAGTAGGACAAATCAGCGAGAGTTGGTCGGTCCTTCAGGGCAATGTACTGCTGGTCGGCCTCCTTCAGTCTCTTCTCCAGGATATCCCATTGCCTCAAAGTGTTTGCATGCAATCTGCCAGCGTCAGCAAACACCAGAAAATAAATGTCCATTGGTTGATAATGAACAAACTTTTCAATAGTCCGTGGAAGTTTAATTGGGTTAGCTCGCGTGGGATAGCCTCGCATGAAATATAACCAGTATTTCGCCGTGGGTCTGAAAATTAGCAAATGAAGGTCCATCTCTCGAAGGCATGTCAGCCACCTTACTCACCCCAAGCCTGCAGTCTGATACGCCGTCCAAGCCAGGACAGCGCCCTTCTCGGCGGCCGTGCGGCCACTCCAGCTACCGTCTGCGTCGAATCGGTCCGCAAGATATTGAAGACAGGCCGTGCTCTCGAAGACGATGACCTTCTCGCTTGTGACAGGGTCTTGATCTTTCAAAGACGGGACCATGCGTTCTGGATGAATGCTGTAGAACCACTCATCGCGCGTGTCGATAACAGAGAGCAGGTGGGGAAATTGCAGCTCCTCAGCTAAAATGAGTGGTTTGATGTAGTTGATGTAGGACGTCTGGTCGGCTGCAATGGCATTTAGCAATAAACTTTTAAGACCCCGATGGGTGAGGCACCTTTGATGATATACAGAATGACTCTCCCGTCATACTCAACGTCACCCCACACGACAGCCCCATTAGAGTCTGAGGAAGAGAATGCATTAGCCATTGGAAAAAGGCTTGATACGTGCACGAGAAATGAATAGCTTCTTGTTTATTTGCAGTCTTCTACTAGTGTATGTATATGAGTGTGATTTTAGAGCAAAAGTATGGTCGGTCCCCGGATCGCTATGCTTTCCATCCCTCCATGGGCCGAAGGTCAATTGCGCACACCCATGCCCTCCGTAGTGGATAGATGCTGCGAACCTGCCACCCAGCCTCAGCAGCTAGCTGGCGCCACTGCGCTTCGGAGCGTTCCTGGCCATTAGCGGTCATCATCATGTTAATATCGCCATACCGGGATAGGCGTCCCATCTGCCCATCGGACAAGATTGACTCTAGCACAACAAGGCGGCTGACTGGTCCAGGAATCAAGGCTGCACGGATTCGTCGTAGAATGGTGAGCACATCTGGGTCCTTCCAGTCATGGAGAACCCATTTCATCGTGTACACCTCGAATGCCGGCACAGACTGCAGAAAATCTCCGCCTATGAGATTCGCGCGCGGGACACGGTCGCGCAGCTCATAGTATGGCCCATCAGGCTCATGAAAGAGACTCACTGCGTGCTCGATGGTGCGAGGTAGGTCGAAAATGCCACCCTTCATTCCGGGATTTTCGCGAAGAAGAGACGCCAGGAAGCCGCCTCCACCACCGCCGACGTCCAGGATCGCCCGGTCACCGACTTCGTGCCAGGGGTAGTCTGCCAGAATACCGGGGGCTTGAGCGATGGCACCACCGCCCAATGTTCTATGCAGCCGGGGCAACCATCCCTGCGCTTGGAAAAAGGTGAACATATCGTCGTCCGTTTCAAAATTGATCTGCGCGCCCCACCGTGACTCGTTCTGATGAATGGACTGTGGGATACCTCTTGCGATATCATAGAATTCATTTCCGTAGAGGTCAACCCAATTGTGCCACTGCGTCCAGTGTGTCGTGTGCAGCAGAGCAGAAACGCGATTGTTGCGGTATCGACCCGAGGCTGCATCGAAATCGAAAATGTTGATATTGCGCAGGACGCGAAGTATTTGCTCCAGTCGGTCTGGGTGAGCGCTGCTGGCCTGTGCCAGCTCAGCCACAGTTAGGCCCTGTGCATTTTGTTCCGCGAGAATATCAACGAGTTTCAGCTCCACCGCTGCGCAGAGACATTTCGTGCTCACGTAGCCTTTGTAGAGAACATTAGCTAATTATAAAAGGGAAACCGATTGCATCATACCTAGAAAATGATCTGCAAGCACGAGATGCGCTGGCTCAAGCAGCTGCTGGGTTTCATGCAGGAGGTTGATTGCCTTGCCCGCCAGGACTTCCAATGCCGAATCCGGCAATTCTTGATCGGGATGGAGTGTCTGAAGCAATCCATTTTGCCCATTTGCCAGCAGGGTATCACGCGCTGCTTCTACCTGAGCGATGAGTAACTCCAGAGTAGTTTGAAGCTTGGGCTGCTCAATGTCTTTCAGTGTCATGATAGTCATTCTGTCAACAGCAGTAGTGGTCACAACTCCCAATATTGGTCGTCAAGTTGAACATTTGCCCTGTCTATAGGGGTAAATATAGTGTCAAGCCTCCTCCCCCGGCAGCCTAGAGCGGAGATCAAGTGAATTCGGAGCCCGAATCAGTAATGATTTATTAGGACATGGGCTGCCAGCACATAAACGTCATCTAGAAGGCTACAAAGGAAGCCCTCCAGGAATAGACTATTGGCTTCCTCTAGCGATGGAAAGCTTTAACATGCCAGCTGACGCTCTAATCATCGGCGGAGGCCCAGCTGGGTTGAAGGCAGCATGGGACTTAGGTCGAGGGCATCATCGCACTATCTTGTTCAGCGCGAGCAGTGCTCCAGCGGACAAATGTGATGAGCAGCTAAATTTGTCACCGCGCCCAGGAAGCAAGTTTTTTCTAGAAGGCCCGTTTGGGAACTCTAGCTTCTTGGATCTTGCCCAGGAGGAAATCCAGCAACAGGCATCTCATGTCTGCATTGAACGACGACGCATCATCAGGGTGAAGCGCCTTGCCGATGGGATCTTTCAAGCAGAGGACCCAGATGGCAACTCCTGGAGGGGACGACTTCTAATCCTCGCCCATGGCTCCGTTGAGGTCTTTCCGGGTATAGCGGGATATGGTAATTGTTGGCGGCAGCAGCGCATGTAAGCCTACTTCTCCTTTGAATCGTATTCGGAACGCTAAATTCGATCAGACAAACGATCCCACCTACACAACAACTACCAGGTCATGTCTCTGCGAGAGGTGTAGCGATCCTGGCTGTTGGAGAGCTGGCGGAGCTTACAACGGCCCTACGCACCATTTGGCGGATCCGACAATACAACAGTCAAGTTCATGTCTACACCAATGGCGATCACGAGCTGGCGCAAGCCCTCCAGACCCGGAAACCGCCGGACACGGGAATCACAATTGAAGGAAAAGGCATTCTACGCCTTGAGCCTGACATTAGTACATCCTTGGGCGTAGTCATTTACCTGCTCGATGGCACTGCTACAACAGAAGCATTTCTTTATCACTGTCCGACCCCGCAGCTTTGTGGACCATTTGCGAGGCAATTGGACCTTGAGTTGGCGGAGTCAGGCGCCATCCACGTTTCAGCGCGTGCGCCGTATATGACCAGCATGGACGGTGTCTACGCGGCTGGTGATTGTACCTCGTTGGACAGGCGGACCCTGTTCAATGCACTGTCTATGGGTGAAGGGGTCGCAGCGTCGGTGGCCGCTCGGTTGGAGCAGGAGCAATGGCCGGATTTGGAGAGTAAAATTGACTGACTGGTCAGAACGGCTAGTCAAGCACCTTAGCGAGTTCTTACAATCCGAATCTAGGTATGCGTTAGGCCGAATGGGCTTTTAGCCCGTGAGACATTTCCTGTTTCCAGCCCTGAATAATTCTTATCAAGTAATTGGATTCGCTGTACCTACCTCCGTAGATTCCTCTCTTTCCTTTCCTCCTTCTTCAGTCAGTCATTCATTTAAATATTACGGAAGCATATCTCACTATGCCTAATCAGGAAATTGCTGAGTTGGCATCTTCGATTTCTTCACTCCACCAGCTTGGATACAGTAAAACTCGGTTATAGCGAGATAATTCAGACAGGCTAGATTTCTCGTTATACCAAGGACTAGTAAATACGTGAGCAAGCGCATACACGTGATTCAGAGAACATATTTAGGGTAAGGATAGCTTGAATATGGCCTACTCTAATTATCCGCCCATATAAACTCCCCTCGATATTACGAGATCTATATGGGGGGCAAAGGCCAAACTAACGAGACTCGTTGTAACGAGGGATCCCGTTATTTATATGGAAAATTAATTCAGACAAGGAAAATATCTCGTATTATCGAGGTTCTCGTTATATCAAGGCTCGTTATAGCGAGGTTTTACTGTACCCTCCTTAAGATAACTTACCAGGCTTTAGCTATCTCAGACTTTGGTATCTGAATATATCTCTCATTTCGCCCCCATTCTTGCTTCTTGCTGATTGGACCGCAAGATCCAGAGTTTCCGGTTTGCATTCTGCTAGAGGATTGACCCACCAGACCTGACATCTTACGTCTACCTTCTGTGTTCAGGGAAGGAGAATGTTATTCCAAGCAAGCTGTGCGTGGCTTACACGGCAGTGATCCGGTTCACCGCGTGACTGTGAATAAGATTAACCCCGATTTGCTGTTTGTTAATAGGTGGACTTTCAATAGAACTTGAGAGCTTCAACATGTACGTAGCTAAGAGACCACGGCGCTATTATGTCAATGGTGACAAGGTGCGGGCCTGAGCAGCTCCTGGATTATGCAGGCGGGAATAATGAGAGCAATCTGGGAGCTGCCGGAGCCATTGAGTAGTCCAGAGCGCCTAGGGAGCACTCAGGTGATGCCCTCTTAAAAAGCAGCGGCTACCTGTATCAGGCAATCGGATGCCAACTCTAGTAGTTGGATTATTTCAATGATTCAGCACTGTGGATATTTATTAGCGCTGATTCTTTGGGGGATTCGGAATATTTTCTTCTCATTTGAGCTACCTTCCCCTCCAACTAGTGATCTACCTTAGGATCTACTGAGCTATGTATGACGATTAGATTGTGAATTTAGTGGGAATCTTCATGCTTGCCACTTCCCTCAGTATACTGATCTCTAGTCTAGAATACTCGTTTAGGAAGAATGTGACCTTCATTGGATTTCATGATGGCATATAACTTACTCGCGTTTTTGTAACCCCAAACGATTCCGCGTATTCTGACAAGTACTACTAGATCTACGGCGGACTGTATGTACAAACCGGCCAAAAAACGAACTTTTTACTGTCACCTGCTTGTATTAACTATACCCACTATGTCCACAAGGACCATAATATCAAATCAAGAAATCCTCATAGTCAGGACTCAGGATATCGGACCCTCATATAGTCAAGATATTGAATACCATATAGCCAGTATACAATCATCAAATCCTCATATCGTCAGGATATATATATATATATATTCTCAACATCCTTACTATATAGTATTTGATATCCTGACTACCCCTGGTATACGATATTCCTTATCCTGATGATATGGTATTTAATGGTTCGATATCCCTTAGGTACTATGTGGTATTCAATATCCTGACTATATGAGGATTTGATGATTCGGTATCCTGACTATTGTTACGACACAGCCGCATTAGCGTAAGGGCGGACATGTCGGGGCAGAAACCTGGAGCAAGTGACAGCCAACCAATTCATAGTACCTGAATCCTTATGCGGTGAAATTTTTATTTTGGGATTTGTACAAATAGTCCGCTGTAAGATCCCGCCTACTAGCATGCGCAAATCAGTTTAGCGCAGCCCATTCCTTTTGATTCCACCTCAGCGGTTATCTTATTGGCGATCTTCAGGGGGTGCCTCTTATATACTTGGACCCGCTGGAAGCCCATAGGCGATCAATCATTGGCGTATGCTTTGTCCTAGCCTGCTCCCCATTTTCTTTGTGAATCGCCGACTCTCGCGGTCTCACGTCGGGCCCCTCATCGTCGGCGACCGGCCTTAAAAATGTGATTTTCTTGGTCCCAAGAGATATAAAGGGACATCGCAAGTCTTCGTTTCCTATGGTACTCATAATTTACGACACGATCTATTGCAGCTGATACCTACCTTTCACCTCAATCGGCAATGACAACCCCACTCTTTGATTGCCTGATAGTCGGCGGTGGTCCCGCTGGATTAGCCGCCGCTCTGGGTCTCTGCCGAGCGGTCCGTACTGCTGTAGTTTTCGACTCCAGGAGCTATCGCAATTCTCTGACTGAACACATGCATAATGTGTCCACCTGGGACCATGCCAAGCCGCAAGACTACCGAGCGGCAGCCCGGCGTGAGCTGACCGAAGGCCGCTATAATACGGTGACACTGGCCGATGTCGCGCTACAAAAAGTGTACAAATTGGACTCAGGCGAATTCGAGGCGACCGACGTGGGAGGGAAGACTTGGAGGGGCAAAAAGCTGGTCCTAGCCACTGGTGTTAAGGATGAAATTCCCGCTGTGCAGGGTTATGCGGACTGCTGGCCAAAATCCATGTGAGCTACCCGCCTAGAGGCTTTCCCTTCGTATTTCTTCCGGAAGAGGAAGCCAATCGCAATGCAACTAACATAATTCCATGCAGTTACCACTGCCTATTCTGCCATGGATTCGAGGAAAAAGGGAGTCCTTCGGTGGGCGTCCTCGCGATCGGACCAACCGCCAACCCCAAACCCGCCGAGCATCTCGCTCGGCTCGCTCACAATCTGGCCGAAAGTGTGACAATCTACACTAACGGCGATGAAGTGCTAGCCGAGCAGCTGCAGCCAGCCATTGAGAAAGACCAGTGGCTGCACCTTGACACACGACCCATCAAACAACTGCACAAGACAGACGGGGTTCCGGTCAAGGTGGAATTGCAAGACGGAACAGAGAAAATGGAGGGATTTCTCGTTCACGCAATGAAGACCACCCCTGTCCTTGACTTTGAGAATAACCTGGAACTTGAGCTCTCGCCTCAGGGAAGCGAGTTCAAGACCAGCGCGCCCTTTGGCGAAACGACCACTCGCGGCTGCTTCGCCACAGGCGACTGCGGAATGGCAATCAAGGCGGCCAGTATGTCCATGAGTCATGGATCGTTGGCGGCGGTAGGAGTGGTGTCCCAGTTGGCTTTTGATGAGAAGGCGTAGATCTGTTGCTTTAAGACTGACGCGCATTCGCGGTATGGTACAGTCAATCTACAATAAGACAGATCACTGTGAAAGAAATCAAATGGATCATAACCAGAGATAAAATGCGCTTCAATGATATTTAGTCCTGTATCTGCTGCTAGAACAACGGCAGGATAGCTCATGATCCCGGGAACTCGCTCTAGTTGGAGCAGACGACTGTAGAATTTGGACTATGAAAAATCATATATCCTGGGGATCCGATTTTATCTCTGTACGGCAGACTGTTCATTCATATGCATTTTCTAGGTCGAACAGAACAAGATCGATTCATCGAGGAACACTACACTGAAACCTAATCTCTAGCTAGGAGCCTCGAGCAATCCCCGTCAATCTATCTGGTGGCGGCATTGTAATCTTTTCCAATCATGGCTATGCCTCATCATCGTAGAAAACCAAGCAGCGAACCTCGACACTCTCGCGTAGAGGCGCATCCTCGGGGGTGTTTGGGTGCTGGAACGCGCAATGGGCACACACTACGCTCAAATTAGCCTGGCCCTGGTGGCCTCAGGACGAATCATCTTACTGTATCCTGAAACTCCCTCCTTGCTGTCCCAGATCTTGATAAACGTTATCTCATCTGTTTTCTGCCGGTCCAGATAGTACCAACGCTGATCTTTACGATGGCTGATGCTGACCGTCTCCCCCCTGAGCTCAAATCGGTTGCGGTATAACTGAGTCGGGTGGATGCTCGCCTTGGCCAAGGTCGTGCAATCCATCATAGCGAGGGGCCAATCCTGGACGGGGCCCTTTAATGGACGCCACACACTGCAGAAATGTTAGGAGTCTGCAAGAGGGTCTAAGTGGGGTGACTATGTGCACTTGATGATCTGGGCCCGGCCCTTCAGTAACTGATCTGCCTCGTCAGGTAGATGCTGATAGATACGTCTTCGCGCACCCAATGGGGATCTTTGTCAATCATTGTCAGCACACTGCCCGTGTGGGATCGCAAAAGACGTACTGGTCACAGTGAACCTAAAATTTGTAAGCGCTGTGGTACTATTGACTGGAGGGAGACAAGAAATTTACGCACTGTACTCGCAGGTTGTTCGCGGCCATTTGGATTCTTCCCAGCCAATGCTGCCTCCCGGCGTCGCACAGTATGATCAAAAATGACCACGCGCGATGCCTGAGTCTGGCGCTTGACCAACTCCTCGACAATAGGATAGTATAGCAGGCGCACTGTTTCCTTGTCCCCCGCGCGGATGGCATCCAGGATCTCGGGGCGGGTGCCCTCAGGGTCCACCGCAAAGGCAAATCCGTGCGTATCGAGGTTAAAAGAATCAAAAACAGGTCTTGCATCAGAGACGCTGACGGTGTGCTGCTCCTGGCTGAAATTGCTGACCTCGAAGCCCTCTCCGGCTGCAGACCGGTAAAAAGGAGGCTTGTCCGATGGCGCTCTCGCCGCGATGAAGCCCATCTGGGTGGAATACTGGGTCAAGGTGGCCATTTTAGGATAACTATTCACATAGAGCGCCAGTTCTGAAAGCCCTTTTTAAATTTTCTCGCTGCTCAGAATGCTTTGAAAGGCATCCTTATTATCCTGTTCTGAAGGGATGTATGCTGAGATTTGCCAACATTGGGCGCCGATCGGTGGCCGGATTCCTTAGTTCTTCGTCTTTAACTGGCCCCTATATCAGCTTATATCAGCTGCTGGCAATTAACCCGTACAGAAGCCATATTTCTACGATCCTGGCTGAGCTGCTATCCACCAATATAGTCTACATGGCATCCGAACAAGTGCCCCTCTACGACTGCCTTATCATTGGTGGGGGCATTGCAGGCCTATCGGCAGCCCTGAGCCTGGTACGCACACTTCATTCCGCAGTGGTCTTTGACGAAGGACTCCATCGCAATGATGGCTCGCCGCGTCTAGCTACCATACCTACTTGGGACAGTCATGAACCAAAGAGATTTCGCGAGGAAGCAAAGATCAACATCCTCACCAAGTACAGCACGGTCGAGTTCGCCGACGTGAAGCTGAAGAAAATAATTCAGATAGCCGGCGAAGAAAATGCGGGACGGTTCTGTGTCCTTGACGAGCATAACCGCCGCTGGCTTGGGAGAAAGGTGATTCTGGCGATGGGGGTTGAGGATATCCTCCCCGACATCCCTGGTTTCAAAGAGTGCTGGACCCATGGAATGTGAGTAAAGCGCTATGAGAATTGTTTTACGAGCTAAAGACATGGCTAGTTTTCATTGCCTCGTTCATCGTGGCTATGAACAGCGAGGTTGTGCCTCATCGGGCGTCCTTGCCATTGACGGCGACGCCAACTTCCATGCGGCGCGGCATCTGGCTTTTCAGGCTCGCAATCTGTCCTCCACAGTCACTGTCTACACAAACGGCAACACCGAGCTAGCCAACGAGGTAGAATCAAAACTCGGACCCTGTGGCTTCAAGGCCGACGCCCGGTGCATCGTCAACTTTGTCCAGCAACCGCAACAAGCACAGTTGGATATTCACTTCGACGACGGTAATTCCGAAGTAGCAGGCTTCCTGGTTCACCGTCCCCGAACACGAATTCGGGGATCTTTTGCACAGCAGCTAGATGTCGAAATGACGCCCGAAGGTCACATTAAACCCCAGTTTCCCTTCAACGAGACGTCGGTGGCAGGAGTGTTTGTAGCAGGTGATGCGGGATCCCCGTTCAAGATCGGCACACAGGCCATTGTCATGGGAGCTTTTGCAGCAGGTGGGGTACAGATGCAGGTAAATGCAGAGAAATGGTCGAAGCCAGTCAGTGCTGTGGATGTACAATAGCATGCCATGGCGGGTGGTGATGAGTGGAGCGCGTTCGTCGGTGCCCGAACAAAGTCCACTATAGAACCACTAAAATATCTATGATTCTCTACAACATTCTCCGCAAGTGAGCCAGTAGATCACTATCATCATGTTTCTCATCACTCTTGAGTGGACAAGTCTCCTTTTGGTATTGCCACTATCGATTGTGCTTTTAATAGGCAGCACTGCKAGTACACCCTATGGGTTTCCTAGAATCGGGCCTTCCCGTCTTTGGACGCTTGTAACATGGAAAAAGCCTGCTCGTTTTGACCTACCTCGATATGCACAAATTGGATATGACAAAGTGTGTTAAATCAGCGATCACTTGATACAATGCTGACCAGGAACAGATCAACAAAGCTCTGGGCAAACCATTCATCACCAAGGTGTTCGGCCACGATTACGTGGTACTTCCAACCAAATACCTGGACGACATCAAACGGGCAAGCCCAAAGAGCCTGAGTTTCTTCCAGGCCCTCAGTGATGTATGTATGCACACGCGTGCTTCGCTTACTGGCTAGCTAACAGGTCATAAAGGGACTGAATATGGAGGCCTCAGTTGGCCATCTGTATGCCAGCACAGCGGAAATTGATGTGGTAGTCAAGCATTTAAACCCGCGGTTGAGTACGTTAATCCATTGCAGGCAGATTATCGACGAATAAGGACACTAAAACTGATTGTTACAGCTCAATTGACACCGCTGTTGTCCGACGAAGCCGAGTATGCCATTCGCAAGGAGATCGGCCCTGCAACAGAATGGAAAACGTTCAACGTCTCCAACCTCATCGGCGCCATAGTGCACCGCACCACTAATCGCATCCTCGTCGGCCCCGAACTATGTCGCGACGAGGCATACCTTGCAGCCACTACAAGGTTCAGCCGGTCGCTATTCCTGCATGGGATATTCTGGAACTTCGTCCGCCTAGGCCCCTTTCGCAAACTCATTGCCAGAGCCACAATCGGCCTTCACCTCCGAGACCGGGACGCAGCCGCAAATATGTTATTGCCACATATTTGCAGCAGGCGCCAGGAAAAGGCCTCGGGAGTTGACGTAGCGGCCAAGTACCCCGACGCGCTACAGTGGACGCTCGAGACAACGACGCCGTCTTCAATTCCTGGTGACGATGACCCGTTGCAGCAGGCGTACCACATGCTGCATCTTACTTTCGCGGCGAGCAGTGCCACTGGAGTGGGAGTCACGCAGTGTCTGCTCAATGTGCTTGCATATCCAGAGTACCTGGGACCACTACGCGAGGAAATCAAGACCGTGGTTGCTCGGCATACTGGATGGACAGACAAGGCTCTATCGCAGATGGCTTTGCTGGACAGCTTCATCCGAGAGACAATGCGGTTGCGCCCAGCGGGATCAAGTAAGTGAAATAGACACTACCTCGCCCGCTAGTAGAAATAACAGCTGACTTGCGTTGCCAGTGACCGTCGCTAGAACTGTTATGGACGACCAATTTCGCTTCCACGATGGCCTCACGCTCACCAAGGGAGCGAATGTCATCGCTCCAGCATTGGCCATCCACCATGACCCAGAAAACTACACCGACGCCAGCAAATTTGACGGATTCCGTTTTGCGCGATATCGGCAGAAACAGGGAGATAGTCATCGTTGGCTTGCCTCGACCATCGATCCAAAATTCCTGCAGTATGTTTCACCCTTTAACAAAATGAATAGTAATATGTTGACATTCAGGAACAGATTCGGCTATGGAAACCATGCTTGTCCAGGCCGCTTCTATGCGATCCGAAAGACCAAACTGGTCCTGGGCAAGCTGCTCATGGATTATGAATTCCAGTGGGCAACTCCGCGCTCCGTAAATAACCGTCCAGAGGACCTAGCGATCGAGGCACAACTCATGGTCGCGCCAGATACTGAAGTTTTGATCCGAAGCCGTCGGACTTGATTGGGCGTGAAGAGAAGTGCGAAAGCTGAAAAGACAACAAATCTTGTAAAATCACTTGAATAAGTTACATTCCCGCTGCCTGAAACTACACAAAATCAAACGTATATTTTGATCTGCCATTGATCATAATGGCCTCTTAACTGATTTCCACTCCTCTTCTCGGCAACCAAATCTTTTGCTAACAACAGTAAGGGGCAATGAATGGAAACCAACGTCACTAGGGAAGCGGCAACATGCGGACCATCGGCCCAAACACTGTAAACGGCAATGGTGGGACCTCTCCCATTTTCAACCTCGCCATAGAATTCCCAGGAAAGGGCAAGGAAATCCAAAAAGTCAACATAACCCACAAATAACCCACAAGTGGCGCCCACGTAGGATTCTCTGGACAAAATCGCCGCTTCCATAACCAGATCACAAAGTCCTCGAGCGTGATCATGGCCGCCTGCCAGGGGAAGAATAGGAAGATCCCAACAGCAATGTCCTTGATTTCGATATTGGCTGGACGGGGCATAAGAAGCTGAGAGGCCGCATGCATGACACCAGAGACTGTGAAGGCGAGCCAGAGCTGGGTATAGGAAGAAGCGTTGGTGCCCCTACAGATGCCGAGAAAGTCCACGACGGCGCCGGTGATTTTACTGAGTGACTGTCTCCTTTCAATATAACTTCAAAAACTGGAAGTCGGGCAAGAGATCTAGACCTACACTGCGCAGCATCTGGTGCCAGAACGTTCCCCAGAAGTTTCTGACGGTGGTGGCATACTTCAATTTACCGAACAGCGGTGGCCAGTCCTTGAGCATGTCAGGTCTATATATCATGCAATTGATACATATCAGAGAGTAGGGAATTCATACCGCTGGCTGACTGATGCCCGTCACAACGGCCAGAATGGAGACGGCGAGGTATTGCATATTGATAAAGAAGTAAGGCCCCAAGCCAAACGTCAGGGCCTTAACGAAGCTCCATGCCCATCGGTTGTCGCGGAGATCGATGTACTTGGAATCTAGCGTACCAGCCTCCCCAGTCACCCTGTCTGTATAGAAGAATCGAACCGCCATTTGCGAAACCAGGTCGGCCATCAAGACAACAACAACCAACTCCGATAGGCGCCAAAGCAGGAAGCGAACCCTGGTCATGCGGTCTAGTCCCGGTACTTGAGGCACATTCTTCACCTGGAAACTCCATCTAATGCCCCTAAGGTTGAGCAGTAGAGCTACGGCCCATTTGATCTTGTGCCAACTCAGCGCCGACCAAACTAGCGGTTCTCTGGGCCTGTCAATGCGCCACAGGTCCGCCTCTGGGCCTTCAGGAGAGGCAAAGACGACCTTTTCCAAGACGGACAGCCAATGCGGCCAGGCGAGAGCGAAAATATTCGCAAGAGCTGGGTCGTTGGTAAAACGATTGCATTGGGAAATCACTGCTAGAGTGAGGATTGATGAGATGGTGATAAACCTTCGACTGGGCAGACGCCGAGGGCCGCTGAGGATCAGAATCTGAGCCGCTATCAGAAGGAGATGGGGGAGGATGGACCCATTCGGTGGATGAAGGTCTCTGTTACTAGGAGATGCAGGCTCCATGTTTGTGATTTCAGGTCAGGTAAAAGAGCAATCTCAAAATCTAACTTCGGTTGGCTGGACAAGTTAATTATGCTGCTCTAATATATTGATGTATATCCCCTAGAAAGTTTACGATTGGATATAGTCCGACAAAATTTGCTTATATCTGCAACTACCGACTTCGGGGACCGAGACGAAGACAGTTCCCATCAGTCAACCGACTTCTCTCCCAGGACAGTCTCCATGCGCTTGATGGCCTCCTCCAATCGGGTTCGTTCGAGAGCGAATGTCATCCGCGCCCACCCTTTCTCATCCTCATTCACATGGTACGCTTTGCCGCCACTCACCACTACCCCGGCCTGCTTCAGTCGGTCGATCATAGCCTTCTCTTGCTCCCACGACTCGGCGTAAGGAGCGAGCCGAGCAAAGAGGAAGGGGGCAGAGTTGACTGGTATGTACAGAATTTGATGCTTCTTCAGAAAGTCGGTCATCAGTGTGTATGCTTCCCACAGACGCTCGCTGTTGACTTGCAAGAGCTCTGGCAGCCGAGTCGATGTAAGCAGCGCCGTCGAAGCGACCGCGCTGAGGCTGGAGGTTTCTGTATTGGAGGCCAGCGCCAAAGCTACGTGCATCGCTTCATTTGCCTGCGTGATGCTACATCCCTGGGCCGAAAAAGATCAAAATTAGAAAGAGTAGTAGAAAAACGGAGCGGTAGGAAATAGGACATACCACGCGAAACCCACTGGAGCCGAAATCCTTGCTTGTGCTCCAGAAGGTGTGGACTCGAGAAAGATCACAGCCCATGCCAGTCACATCAATCTCTAACGCGGACACAAAGGGCGGCGCATCAGACAACTCGGGATTTTCAAAGGTGGAAAGCGCATATACCTCGTCCGAGATATAGTGAATGCGCTTGTCGTTACAGAAGCGGATGCAGTCCTCGATGACAGTCCGGGGATAGCACTGGCCGAAAGGATTATGCGGATTTGTGAGAAGAAGACCACGGACTGGGATTGATGACTCCCTATAGGCTTTCTCCAAAGCCGGGATTAGCCGGGGGGTAAGAGTGTCGGCTGCCCGTTCCACATGGGCGATTATGGGCACAGCAGAGGACCGCGCAGTGAAAAGCCAGTCGAATCCATCTACATCAATCAGCATGCTTATCGATCTTGAAATCATTCTTCAAGCTGATAACAACGCACTCACTCCAAAAGGGGGCAGGAACAAGGATTCCCTCGCCTGGTTCACACACATTGTATAGAAAAGTGTTCAGGCAGGTGGCTGCTCCTGGTGCTGTCGCTATATGTGCTTCTTCCACAGGGATATGAGGATGGAAGTATTTATTGAAGAAGGCCGCCAGGGCCCGTATGAGGTCTGCATCTCCGGCAAATTCATTGGGATACGAAAGGTGCTGCGTGAACAGTATTAGATGGGCGATGATTTGAGGGCATTTCGCAACAAACATGAGGTTTCAATTCCTGCACAATAGCATCTTTCGTCGTTTCAATGATTTCATTGCGCATAAGCCAGTTCTCTGCCGTAGAGAGATCAATTCGAGGGGCTGTGGGCTTGGTCCTCTCAAGCAAGGCCGCGCTTATGCTAGGTAGAATTGCGTCGACGTTGGCAGCACCACGCTTGGATAGACCAGCAGCAGCCATTGTTGTCTCTGGATATTTGGTTATGTTTCAGGCCGAACATGTAGGATTTTGCAAAGATGTACAGTAGTCATATATCATTCATTGTGCGCCCTTTTGATATCGGTGACTGTCTCGGACCCCGAAACACCAATGTTCTTGGGACGAAGCCCTGTATCAAAATCATCCAACTCCGCCAGTCTTTCCGGTTTTACTCACTTCCCACGTCAGGACCAGACACAATGCAGCTCGTGATTTTGGCTTCAGCTGTCTGTTGGGGATACCCGGCAGTTATATATCTTACATATATCGCATCACGACTCCTTATTGCCTTGTCGCGCAAGAATCATGATGTAGCCACGGACGTGTGGTACGAGAAGCAACGTCGAGTAGCGTTTACAGCCATTTTCTGGCTCCAATCTGTGCTATGTGTCGATTTAGTCAGTGTAATCCTGAACTAATATATGTTTCAAATTATGGTGAAGACTGATAACGATTTCTGCGTCTGTAGGGAATGTCTATAGCCGCCACTGGCTATCTGATCAGTAAAAACGTCCAGTCAGAAGCATGGTGGACTACCAAAGAGTATTTAGTATGACCCTTCCGGTTGTCTCTTCATGAACTATGTCTGACAATATAGGCCTCGACCATTGCTGTGTGGATGTTTCTCGCAGCTGGGCTGCTTCCTGACCCCGATGAGCCTTTTACGCCATCATTGTCCCATTGCCACGCTTGGCTCGTGACCTTGATGGTTGAAGTGCTGCAGTTGGTCATGTTCTGCGTCGAAGCCAGCCAGCAAACGGGCGCCACTGGTTTTGAGCGGGTCCAGGTCGGCCTGGTCACGCTGCGTGTTTGTTTCCAGATAGCCATGGCGGCGCTCTATCTCCAGCCTATGTATGCTTGGTCACGCGTCATGTTGGACGAGACTGAGCCTCTTCTGGGGCAGACGAATCTCAAGACAAGGGATGCGCAGAATGGGGGATGGCTGGATTATGTGACTGGGTTCAGCACACTTTTTCCCTTTCTGTGGTCCGTCTCTCATCCAATGCTTATCTCTTTTCCTCAACACAGGGAAGCTAAGATTCCAACAGGCCTTCTGACTCTCGCCGGCTACAATTACGGACGGTCTTCTGTTTCTTTCTGCTGCTGATTCAACGAGCAGTCAATATCCTTGTTCCACATCAGTTAGGTCTTGTCGTCGCAGCTCTTGGCTCAAAAAGCATCCCTATACGGCAGGTTGCAGTGTATATCTGCCTGCGGGCACTGCAGGGCCAGCAAGGAGTCATCGGGTCCATTCGAGCTCTTCTTTGGATCCCTGTCAGCCAGTCAACCTACCGCCGACTTACTTCTTCTGCCTTTGAGCATGTTCTTTCCTTGTCTCTAGATTTCCATCTAGGTAAACGCATCGGGGAGGTCATGAGCGCACTCAGCAAAGGCAGTGCGCTTAACACATTTTTGGACGGTTTAGTGTTCCAGCTGTTTCCCATGGTGGCTGATTTGTGGATTGCTGCGGTGTACTTTCTGATCAAATTTGACGCCTTTTACTCCCTTATCGTTATTGCCGTCACTTGGATGTACCTGTTTGCGACCATCTACATGGCCAAGTACCGTGGCCGAGCCCGGCGCGAGATGGTGAATCGGGAGCGCCAGATGGAGGCTGCCAAGTAAGCTGCACCGCACTACGATGGCGAGCTGTCTACTGATATTGCGATGCAGAACGGACGCTCTTCTCTCTTATGAGACAGTCCACCACAATTCAGCAGTTCCTCACGAGCTCGGCCGCTTCAACAGGCTCGTGCAGTCCTTCCAGCAAGCCGAGTACTTTGTTTTCTTCTCCCTTAATCTCCTCAACGCGGTGCAAAACCTGCTATTTACGGCTGGGGTCGCCATTGTCTGTCTCTTGTGCGCGTACCAGATTTCTGCAGACATGCAAAAGGTGGCCATGTTTGTCACCTTACTCACCTATCTCTCTCAGCTTCAGGCTCCATTGAACTTCTTCGGGAGCTTTTACACCCAAGTTCAGAACAATCTTGTGGATGCTGAACGCATGTTGGCATTAGTAAGACAGGCTCTTCATTAACCCGGATGACCTTGCGAGATACTTACCACCCACAGTTCGAGACAAAGCCGCTTATTAAGGACCGAGACAACGCCATCAATCTTGATTATTGCCGCGGTCGGGTCGAGTTCAACGAAGTCGACTTCGCCTATGATGTGCGCCGCCCCGCCCTGCGCAAGGTCAGCTTTGTCGTTGAGCCCGGCACCTCCACCGCAATTGTCGGCGAGAGTGGCAGCGGCAAGTCAACCATTCTTAAGCTGCTCTTTCGGTTCTATGATGTCGCTGGTGGCTCCGTGCGCGTTGACGGAGTCGACGTCCGCGACATGACGGCGGCCAGTCTCCGTAGCCATCTCGGCGTTGTCCCGCAAGATACAATCCTCTTCAATGACACCCTTTTGTACAACCTGCGGTATGCACGCCCAAGCGCAACCATGGACGAGGTATATGCAGCCTGTCGGGCTGCTAGCATTCATGACCGGATCATGTGCTTTCCGGATGGCTATGAGACGAACGTCGGAGAGCGCGGACTGAGGTTGTCAGGAGGAGAAAAACAGCGCGTAAGTGTTCAGTGTCAGAAGTGAGGCGTCTCTCACCAGTTTGGCTTACATAGGTTGCGATTGCACGAACATTCCTTCGCTCTCCCCAAATTCTGTTGCTTGATGAGGCCACTGCCTCGCTAGATTCCCAGACCGAACGGCAGATTCAGGGAAGCCTGGAGAATGTTGCCAAGGGGCGAACCTCCATCACAATTGCGTGAGTGCCATCCCTTGATTGAGTCTTTCAATTATATCTCCCGGATCATCAGTGCTAATGGCTGCCAGCCATCGCCTGTCGACAATCACCAAAGCGGACCAGATCATTGTCCTGCACCAGGGACATATCGTTGAGAAAGGTACTCACGCGCAATTATTGGCGGCGGGTGGCCTGTATGGCCAGATGTGGGAGAAACAGACCAAAGCAAAAGAAAAGGAGGACAAAGATGCCGAGGAAAACCGGGATTTGGTAGAGTTCCCCTGATAGTTTGAGATGGTTGCTCTTGTTTCTGGCATAAATCGAGCATTTCAGATATTCAATTCCCGAGTTTCGATGATTCGTGACAGGATGGTGATTGTTGGAAGCCTCATGCGACCTTTATACTAGCAGAAATGTTGAACACTCAATTATCTATAACCTACAGTAGTGACGATCCGAATAATACCCGAATAGTTATCCATGAGTCAAAAACTCTTGCTCTGAAGAATAACCACATCGAACAATGGTGTGATCATCAAAGTACGAAAACTCAAGCAGGTTCGAAACGTCTATCCTACATATACGAGTGAGAATAACAAAGATAAATCCATTAATCCACTACTGTTAGTTCATATTCCCTTTTTGTTCCTGTGTCTGAACAACACCATCCTCGGCCTTGGCCTCAGCCTCAGCAAGTCCAAAGTCAGTCTCCAGCGTCGGCCGCAACTCAATATGTCTTTCCAATCCTACCAAAACAAAGCCGAGCAGGGCAAACGCCATTCCAACAAGCCACACCGTCCGCAAGCTATCTGTGTAGACCCCAATAACAGTAGAACCGTCAGCTCCCAGCTTAGAAACGAAAGAAGTTCCAGCCAGGGCGTAAGCGCCCCCGTGCGCAAGCTGATTACGGACGGTCAGGTCCGACACGCGCGCGACAAAACGATCAACTTGGTCGTTGAAGACAGCCGCCGGTATTGCCACACCCCAGACAAATCCAAAGCTACGGAGAAAAGCATATGCCGCTGTCGCGGCCGCATTGTCAGTCTCCGGAAGAGCTCCTTGGATGGCAGGGAGAAGACTCGTCAGCAGCAGACCATGCCCCACACCAACCAAACACTGGAGCACAACCCACTCAGCACGCGGTGTAGTGGCATTCCAAGTGCTGAAGAGGCCCAGAGAGAGAGACAGGAGCGCAAACCCTGCCAGGTGCAGAGGGCGATGCACGCCGGTCTTTCCCATGATTACACCGCCCAGGATGGCAGACGGGATCAGGCAGCCTGTGAAGGGGATCACGTCCACCCCGGACATGGTGGTCGATTGACCTTGGACAGACTGAAAGAACAAGGTCAGGAAATAAACAACCCACTGCATCAGCATGGCGGCTAAGAAAGCCAGAATATACGCCGTCATTGAGGTGCGCGTGCAGAACAGCCGGGGCGGCATAGTGGGTTCTAAGCAGTAGGGCGAAGCCTCAAAGACATGGAACAGCACCAAGCCAAGTGACCCCATAATGAGAGGTAATAGCACCTGGGACGAGGACCAAGAGTAAATGGATCCCGCAATCACTAGGGCGTACATTATGGCACAGCTGGCCGCGATGAAGATGGCGTTGCCTACCCAGTCAACGCGGGCTACAGTGCGACGCCATGAGGCCCCTTGTTGATGCTTGATGTTCAAGAACAGGACCAGCGCGACTAGGGCCAACCCAGCAAAGGGGAGGTTGATGTAGAACACCCACCGCCAACTGGCATGCTGTACTAGGGCGCCCCCAACCAATGGGCCCAGCGAGGTTCCTAGCGCGCACGTAGAGAGTGCAATCCCAACAAACTGGGCGCGTTCTCGCAGAGGCACCAGGTCGCTAACGATCACCTCGAGCAGCAGGAGAATGCCGCCGGCTCCCAGCCCCTGTACCGTGCGTCCGGCAATCATCATCGCTGTGGAAGTCGAACCGCCACACAGACCACTGCCCAGGGCAAACAAACACATCGAAATGATCATGGGATACCGGCGACCGACAATATTAGAGATCTGTCCAACCAATGGCTGGATGGCTGCCGAAGCCAACGTGTATGCATTGGCGATCCAGACATAGTTTTCCTCTCCGTCTAGCTCCCGAGTGACTGTGGGCAGGGCCGTAGTGATGGCCGTAATGTCTAAAGATGCGACGAACGAGGCAAAGCAGAGCGAGACGAAAACGGCCCAGAATCGGGCTCCACGAATGGTAGTGGAATGGTGCTCTTGCTGGACATCCTTGGCCGACTGTATTGGTTCGGCCATGGCAAACAGAGATAGATTCCCGAGGCCCTGAAAGGATAAGAAACGACGAAAGTCGCATCGGCGCTGTATGGCGGCCCTCTAGGACATTTTTGCCATCTTATTTGCCTGTCTGTCATTTTCCCTGCTACAGGGGCATCGTGCCCTTCACCCGGTGGCCGAAGATACTGACTACCATCTAGCTGACCAATTGGAAATCTCCCAATAACAGGGAATGATGCATTAGAAGAGATTTATGCTTACTTGTCCTCAGCTTTTGATCGGTCACCGAGTACTTCGGATGCCATTTTGCCTAGGAAAAAGGATTAAGCGCAAGAAGCAGCCTCTATCTTCTTCCTATCTTGTGACTGCTTCTGATTGCAGAACAGACTTCTGCGGTCCCACAGGCAAGCAGTTTTCATTACCTTATCACAACAAACAAGTGGACACTGCGTCTCCATTTTCTCTTTTCAGCATGGCGTGTGCATCGCCGCTGCTACCCCGGTCAACGCCAGACCAGGTGTGGTACTTGGCATACGGGTCGAACCTTGCCAGTAAAACCTTTCGTGAGGATCGACAAATGTCGCCGCAGGCGGCTGCAGCTGTGGGGGTTCCCGGATGGCGCTTGACTATGTCCAGCGCTGGTTTTCCCTACCGCGAGCCTGCCTTTGCCTCCATTGAGAAAATCCCAGGGTTGCCGTCATCAGAAAAACCAGAAAATGAGAAGGACCGCGAGGTAGCACTCTGTGGAACAGCTTATCTCATAACATGGGCACAATGGATACAGATCATCGCCTCAGAAGGTGGGGGTATCGCCTATGAACAGGCTCTGCTCTCCGCCCAGCCGATCCGGAAGGCTGATCGACAGCGTTGGGGCGCGACAATCCGTGTCTGGACGCTGCTCAGCACCCTAGAGCGGTGCCCAGAAGCACGGCCGAGCGCGCGCTATATGGTCAGTGGTCATCGTCTTCGTCGTCCTCCTCCTTACACTTCTAAGTTTAATGAGGCTCCTCCGTCTAATTTTTTATTTTTATATTTTATACTTTATTTTTTGATTTTGAATTTTAATTTAATTTACTTTATCTTATTTTGATTTTTTTTTTGTTTGTTTACTTTGTTTGTTTGTTTTTCTTTTGACGACCAGGTTGACCAACCCAGCGCGATATTCTGTCACCTCGCTAATTGCGATTGGTATTTAGGGCCTTATTGTGGACGGAGCCCAGGCTGCCGAAATTCCACGCAGCTACATTGAGCACATACAGCGAAAGTACCCGTGCTATCAGCCCAAGTTAGAGCCATGGGCCCGCATTGGGGCAGCATTGTTTCTCGCCTTCTGGACGCCCCTTCTCACTCTCCTCAGCATTCTCACACATGCTACGGCGCGCACAGGACCTGGTGAAAATGGGCATGTTCCAGATGGGGTGCGGGCATTGGTCCGATTTGCCATGTACTGCATGTGGTGGGTCCACGATGTGTTGTGGGCCGACATATGGGGCCGAGGCGATGGCCTAGATTCATTGGAGCCAGATGCGTAGGGTCAAATTTTGGTCTAGCGTGATCATGACTTCAAGACACGCTATGCAGGAAGCGGTCCGCAGTCGGCTTAGGTACTTAAACATATTAGCTTCTTTAAATCTTGAAAAGATTCACTTTTTGCAGGCATTGGAAGGTTGCTGCCTCAGTTTCAGTACCTTCGTAGCAGAGATCCTTGCTACCTTCCCCCTTCAATATTGTCATTCCCTCATTGCTGGAAGAATTCAGGGGGAAGCAAAGAGGCAAAAAATCAAGGCTACATGCCGTTAGCGCAGACTATTCGACAGAAACTAAAGTAGTGTTTCTGCCTTGACCTTACGCCCCGCTACTGTGCAGCAGCTGAAACCGCAGTCATTTCACCTTTTGCCTAGAACATCAGGCCAACAGGAAAGCCAAAATTCTAAGGAGCTGGGTGGGATGTTCATTAGAGCAAGGCATTTATTTCTGAAAGACGAGATATTCACCAGAAAAGCAAGACGAATGCACTGGATTAGTGGATTTTCTACCATAGGCTCCAAAGCTTGGCTTACGCCTGCCGTTCGACGACACTTCCGCAGCACTAGGGTTCATTGAGGTTGGGTCTACTCCGTACTCCGGCTGAGACCGGGGTCTTGCTAGTACCGTGGGGCACGCAGCTATCTTGAAATAGTAAACATGGTTTTCTAGCAAAAGACCGCCTGCTAGTGCCAAATAGAAGTCTCTTAACTATTAAGAAAACTCGAGCCTTGATACCGGCCAGAAATCAATACACAATTACATGCGATCTCTGTGTACAGCGAGAATAAATAATGTAGTAACAAAATCACTAGGGCCAACCGAGTAAACGTGTCCGTAAGATTTTAGCTCCTATAATTGCCCCATGAATGGCAGTCTCTGATTGGTAATTTAATTGTCCTTAAGCACTCGACATAGTCGATCTCCTGGCATCCGGGCTCCTCGCAAGACAACGATTAAGTGCGATGCCTGCAGGGGTGCTGCAGTCTGACTGATGACCTGCAAAGCATTTGAAGCGGGGAGTCCTCAGAAGGGCCTATAAGAGTTACAAGGGTGCTACGAGCACAGTCCGTCAGTATTGCGTGCTTTCGAATCCTTCCGCCATTGCCATGTCTTCAATTGCCATGACTGAACAGTTCCGTCCTCCCAATCAGGTCCCTTGCTTATAACCCGGGGACCCCGCTGACCATTCTATCGCAGAGCTGGTTCCTCCAGCAAGCCTGTCCGATTGCGGTCCGCCTGTAATCAGTGCCATGCAGCCAAGGTAGGAAATCGCAGCCCAGTGCGATGCTGCTCGTATACTGACGAGATGAGGACACAGGTGCGGTGTACTGGGGAACGGAGCGGGTGTAGCCGATGCAGCAATCTGCAGAGCGAGTGTATCTATGCAATCTCGCGGGTTGGAAAGGTCCCAGGAATTCGCGCGCGCGGGAACAGGGCGTCTACCCAGACCATCCATGACGCTGGGCTGCGTTCGGAGAGCCCTAGTGATACTCATCATCGCCTCCCGAACTCCCGGAAGCCAGAGGAAACTGGGGATCAGGACATGCGAGACACTCGGCGGCCTGAAGTGGAGACTCCGCATCATTCAAGGTCGGATCGAATCCCGGAGGCTGGCCCCGAACTTCTCTCGCCCCCGTCGACGGGGCTGTATGCTGATTTATGTGATGCCAACACTGATAAGCCTGCTGATGCCTTTGAGTGTGCGGACCTGTTTATCCTCCCCAGCCAACTGCTGGCATCTGACCATGAACCGCATCAATCTCTTCAACATCTCAATCATGGTAGTCAAAGGCAGTCGACCTTAGACTCTTTCCACAAAACGACCCCGCCAGCCTCGATTCCCGCTCTACCAGACCTCGACCTTCATACTCACGACTTGCACCAGATGGATCTTCCGCTGAGCTCTCTCGATAATTGTTCCACCGGACGTCGCGCAGTAGGCTCGCCCTCTTACATGCATCACTCCACCCTAGGCTTTCCAGCATCAACCTCCTATGCCGAGCCCGTCGCCCAGTTGGCGTTCGAGAGCGACTGCGGCCGTGGTCATAGTTACCAGAGTCGAACAATACTGACGTGCAATCGCCTCGTGGAATTCCTAGAGCACCGCATCCAGCGCGGAGTCGTCGCGCTGGACGTCGTCATGCACACCAACAAGATGACGCTGGGCGAGATCTCGCGAATGTTGGGCCAAGGGGCGCACAGGGAGCAGCTCAATTGCGCGATGCTGCTGCTCATTGCCGTCGAACAGATCGTGACTCTGTTCGAGCGCAGTGTGCGGCAGGGCTGGGCTGCCGACCGCGGAAGTGGCGAGATCGGGGCCCGAGAGCTCGAGGAGGCGATGCCGGGGACCGGTGCTGACGGCGGCAATATGCTGCCGCATCTCCGATTTGGGCTGTTCCAAATCAGCCAGGACGAGCAGCGGGCGCTTCGATCGTATTTACTGCAGCGCGAGCTGCAGAGGTGTCAGTAGAGTTGCATTTGGTCCGAGTTCGGGCGAGTCCAACCCCAGTTGGAACCGAACCGCTGCGATTTCGAGTTGAAATTCTAGAAATCGAAATCAAA